TTCGAGCGCAGTCGAAGGGTTCACGGTGATGGCTTAAAGAGGACAACGGGTCTGCTCACATTTCGGATAGACACTGCTCATCGGCATGAAGAGCCGGTGAGAATACAGTACTCAGGCGAAAGATCGCACTGTGGAAAAGGACATATATAACATGATTAACGCCTTAAGAATACTGCGAGCAAACATTATTTTGATAGAACCTGAAGTAGTTGACGATGCGAACATTTGATTTCATACCGTATATACAATCAAGCCTCTATATAATGTCAAAGTGACAGACATATATCGCCTCTCTAGATGAAGAATTCTTGTTCTTTCTTCATGAAGGATGATGCAGACTCAGATGCGGCTGCATACATACCCATGTTCTTGATTGCTCTCAAGCATATGTATGCCTTTAAGGCACAAGCTTTTGTGTATCAGCACAAGAGCAACATCTATAAGCTCTTGTTTACAATGACAGATGACGATGTCTCCAGTATATATCTGATCTAGTGCACTACTTTAGTCTGCATCAGACCACACGACAAAGTCTTACAAACAAACACGACCTTATGCTCCACTGTCTTGATGTAACAGCTACTTGAATCCATGTACTTTAATAGCACTACATTGACATAGACCCCTCCAACACCAGCCTGCAATGAGCTTGGATGGCAAAGACGAACGCATAGAATGGCGCGAAGGCAGATAGCCCCGAGTTGCGCTATTCACCCGTCTGTGTAGCTAACATATCTAGTCGGAATACATAGTCGTTCTCTATGTGCATGTTGCGATCTTGAATCGTGCTCTATCTATTTCCCTTTCTTCTGATAACATGTTCTCCTTGTCTTCATCTAGAAGAACTTAAAAACGGTGTTGCTATGAATCATACCTTATCTCCTCTCTTACAAGATCGAAAGGAGACTCGCGATGGATCGGTCTGTACTCACCTCTTCGTAGAGGTTCCACCAGACATTGGATGTGACCGACAGGTCCTGCGTCCAGATCACATGTGGCCACTTTGACAAACAGGATGTTGCAGCCGCCATCATGCTGATGAAAACAAAGAGCCTCGATTAGGCGGCGGACTTATTCAAAGGGTGTGGGTAATGTTCAGCGTTTGCGCGTCGACAGCGAGAGGTCTAGGCGACGTGTCGAGTCGTCTGGCTATAACAGCTCATCAGTCAACTACAGAATTACATTATAGATCCAGCACAAGGCAAGGCAAGACAGTCAGATCAAGCGGATATCATAGTAAGAAACGCAGTACGTGTATTCTATATCGCTATTACAGTTACAGAAACTTTTTCTGGACACGAACGCCACCAGCGCCATCATGCAAGGGATTGCTGAATAGGCGCAACCTCGATAGAGGAAAACAAAACAATGCCAGTCTAATGTAGAAGAACCATCCTACCATACTGAAATCGTGTCCATGCATGAAGATCAAAGCTCTGTCCATGGGGTATCAGGGTACGACAGAACCTGAGCAGGTACAGCGGCTTTCCGTCGCACGAGGAAATGGGATGAAAGATGAAGCAAGTCCGAAACGATTGCCTCCAACGCCGATAGCAGGTTGGAGAAAGGGTGCTCATCGTTCTGACAAAGTGAATAAGCAAGTGCGATGGATAAAGTGATCACCAGCGGCTGTTGCGGATGGGATCGCTGTTACCTCCGGTCCAGCCTGAGATGGGCGTTAGATCTCGCTCGGTGTCGAAGGGACTTCTACCACCTACCACCACGGCCTCCGCCACGGCCTCCACCACGGCCGCGGCCACCTCCCCAGCGACCACCACCACCGCCGCCGCCACCGTAGCGGGCCATCTCGTGCAGACGAGGATCAATCTGCTGCTTGGACTCTGTGAGAATCTGGACGAGATCACGAGCTTGCTTGGAGTCTGATGAATCTGTTAGTGAATGGTTTGCAGAGTAGGGTCGAAGATACATACTGTCTGTGGTGAAGAGGGTGATGGCAGTACCGTTAGCGCCAGCACGACCAGTACGACCAATGCGGTGGACATAGTCCTCCGAGTTGTTCGGGTAGTCATAGTTGAACACGTGAGTAATGTTGCGGACATCTTGAAGAGCAAAGGTTAGTGACTGATGAAAGGAACGAGCAAACGACGATCATGATTGGATCGCGTGAAGCTGCAGTATGTTGCATGCAACCGTCTCTGTGCGCTACAACGAATGTCACGGCATCAAGTCCAGTGGGAAGGCTGTGGATGTCTCCTGGTCCAGAAACCCTTGGAAGAGAGTGCGACTTATGTAAGTCAGATATCTCAAGCAGCTTGCTTCAGTAGTACCTTGGTAATACCAGAAACAGAAGATAGCGAAGACTGAAAGCTTCGCCAGCGTAACCAAGGATCCCTGGGGATCAGATTCGAGAGAGGCAAGCCCTGGACGATGTCATGGGAGCGAGTGTAACGAGCGCACAAGACGACCTAAGCAGAGCACAATGGCAGTTCACGCATAATAATAGTTGGGGAGGTGAGGAGGGGGGAGTGTTGGGGGTTTGCAATCATACCGATACCACGGGAAGCCACGTCGGTGGCAACCATGATGGGGCTCTTGCCCGTCTTGAATTCGTTCAAGACCCAATCACGCTCGTTCTGCTGCTTGTCGCCGTGAATAGCTGGAGATGAGTTAGCGGTGATCAGTTCATGACATGCGATTTAACTTACAAAGCGCCGGCCAGCCGTCCTGACGAAGGAATCGGGTGATCTCGTCAGCAACGCGCTTGGTACCTGTGAAGATGAGGATCTTGTTGTCCTTGTCGCTCATGATGGTCTCGAGGTGCTTGGCCATGCGGTCACGCTTCTCGAACTCTGTGCAGACCTCGACGATCTGTTGAATGCGGTGGTTGGCAGAGAGATCCATGGAACCGATGTTGACCTGGATCCAGTCCTTCTGGTAGTCGGCAGCAAGCTGGCGAACTTCCTTGGGCCATGTAGCGGACCACATGCAGGTTTGACGGTCAGGGCGAATCTGTCCGATAATCTTGCGGATTTGAGGCTCGAAACCCATGTCAAGCATGCGGTCGGCCTCGTCGAGAACCAGGTAGGTAACACGGCGAAGGTTGGTCTTTCCAGCCTCCAACATATCGATGAGACGTCCAGGGGTGGCAATGCACACCTCAACACCGCGCGCAAGGTCACGGATCTGGGGACCCTTTGGAACACCTCCATAGACGCAGGTGTTTCGGATGCGCGAGGACTTTCCGAACTTGCTGATCTCTTGCTGAATCTGGACAGCAAGCTCACGAGTGGGCGCGAGAATGAGGACGATGGGGCCATCGCCGGGGGCGAGGAGAGGCTGAGCGTTGATGTGAACGATGGCAGGAAGACAGTAGGTCAACGTCTTTCCGGAACCGGTCTCGGCAACACCAACAACGTCGCGACCGGAGAGAGCCATGGGCCAACCCTGAGCCTGGATAGCGGTGGGCTTGGCGAAACCCTGGGCCTTGACCTCGTTCATCACGTATGATGGGAAGCCAGCCTCGTCGAAGGTTGTGACGGGCTTGGGAATGTTCTCACCCTTGACGGTCATCTGGTGCTCCTTGCGGTATTCGGCAACCTCGGCTGCTGAGCGAGCAGTAACAGCGGGATCCTCCTTGTAGAAGGACTTCTCGAACTTGGGCATCGTGTCGAGATCTGGAAAGTGTTAGTGTTGCGCCGAGCCTATACGAGACAATGGAACATACCCCATGATTGCTGCTTCAGGCCCTGGCCGAGTTGCGACATGCGGTCGCCGCCGTCGCGACCACCGCCAAAGCCGCCGCCGCCACCGCCATAACCACCACCTCCTCCACCGTAGCCACCACCGCCGCCGGAGTAGCCACCACCACCGCCGCCGTAGCCGCCGCCGCCACTAGATAGATGTTAGCAGATGTCGCTGAGATGAGATGAGATGAGTGACAGAAGGGGGCTTCTACGTTGTCGCATCGAGTAAGCGACCGCCCGCTTCGACTGTGAGACAGCCTGACAGGACGATCGAACTCAGACTGCGCGCAGAATGGAGAGAAAGAATGGTAGCAGATGGAGGGCTGTCCAAGAACCACGACTGTGATGCCGTTCCCGTGTGAAGGGGGTGTATCGTCCTACCCGTACGATGCATAATGGCTTGTCGAGTTGTTGTAAGACCCATATCCAGCGTTGCTGTTTTCGTACCCGTTCGAGTAGCCACGGTCACCACCGCGACCGCCGCCGCCGTATCCACCACCGCCGCCGCCGTAACCGCCTCCGTAGGAAGACATGATGTGAGAGTGTGTTGTAGAGACTGGCGTCAAGGGGGAACCGATCGAGTAAGGGAGCGTGTGTCGAAGTCTGGAGACTACGAGAAGATATTAGTTGCAGTAGAGCGACTGTAAAAGTGTCGCGTGTTGTGCGATAGAAGAAGCACAAACTGTAGAGGTTGCGAGTTGGGGTGAGAGGAAGTCAGAGGGCAGAGCGCGACAGGAAAAGTTGCCTTGCCTCTGTTGCGCTTGCACATTTTTTGAGACGCTAGCGCCGCTAGCACCGCTAGCACCAGGGTCTCGCCCAGTTGGGTAAGGGCGGAGCTTGCCGTTATCAGCCCGGGGAAGCCACCAAGAAAACCGAAGACCATGTCGCCACTGTGGGCCTTGCATCTGGGTGAGTGTGAAGCATTTTCCATTGCGACCCGCATATTGCACGCCCTAATGCCTACTTCTCCTCTCGCGTCAACGGGAAAGCCAGAAATAAGCTAATAGTGGGCACTCCTTAGTATTCTGCCACAACACCCTCTAGTAAAAAATCTAAAAAGATAGAATTGCTCGCAGTACTCTTTTGTATACCTCTACTTTTTTTAAAAAAATTATTTACAAGGTTGTAGTGCGCAACAAGAAGATAGAGCGTTGGTGTTAGGAATCCTATTTCCAGCTTTCCCGTTGACGCGAGAGTTCTCGCAGCAATGTGAGAACGTGAAAGTGTACCCCTGCACGATGACGAGACAACCCGATGCTCTCCGATACTCTAGGATACAGTCCTGTGCCCTGGTTCTCACCTTAGCCCATCACCAGCTCTGAGGCCCATGTCCCAGAACCCCTTCTCCATCTATACAGCATTAGCATGTTACCGACTGTCATCTTCAGCCTAGCACTTACATTTGTAGCGTGTATGAAGATTTTGGCCAGCTCTTCCACCCGACTCGGACTCAGTCCCTCGGCATGCTTCTCTACCAGCTCACTGCCCCTCATCATCGCTTCCCTGTACTCTTCTGCAACATACTGCTCAATCCACTTCCAGTACTTGCTTCCCACCCTCACGGTGCTGGGATCTTCGTAGAGACGTTTGGCAATAATGCCGTAACCGATGAGACACGGCAAAAGCGCAATCTGCAGAGCAAGATAGTCTTGCGACATGCCGATGTCGAGCACATAACGGGTGTATGCCGTGGTGGCTTGGTCTTCCTCTTCCTCGATGATATCGGCCTCCGATAGTCCATACTCTTTACAAAAGTCGATGTGCAGCTTGATCTCTTCCTGGAGGGTGACAACTTGCTGCACGGAGTACCCAATGTCTTTCAGATTGCTAGATTTGTATGCAGACAGCGCGTTCGCTCTTGCAAATTGGACCTCAGCACTAGTCAGTCATTCACTTCCATGCGGGAAATGAACATGTTTGGGCATATACTTACTAAGAAGAGGTAGTCCTGCACAAGGTAGTACATGAACTTCTCCACTGGCAATGTCCCAGCGCCCATACTCTGCACGAACTCGTGTTGGGTATATTCCTTCCACGGCTTCTGCACGTCTTCTCGGTCGAGCAGATAGCTAATAAAGTTGCCTGGCGCGAAAGGCAGCATGTACATCGAGTGGAAATGGTTGATTGGGCCGCTTCCCCCTCCCATATCAACAGCTGTCTTGATGCCTGCTTCAACGTACAGATTAGCCTTCTTGACCGCCTTGGCCATCGACATTCCTTCCGCCAGGTTACACGCAATAGCGGATGCTAATGAACACCCTGTCCCATGCGTGTTCCTCGATTGCAGATATGGGCTTTCTAGCATGGTAACTCCAGCATCGCCCACGAGGATGTTCAAAACGACTTCCTTTTCGCTGTCGTGCGTGCTCACTACCCGGCCGTGGGTCAATGGTAAATGGCCCCCCTTCAGTAACACCCATTTGGGTCCTAGTGACCGGACATGCTGCGCCATCGAGACGATGTCATCAACATTCTTCGGATCAGGGATATCGTACCCGGCCGTTTGGAGAAGCAAGCGAGCCTCAGGAAGGTTTGGTGTGAGAAGCGTTGTATGAGGGAGAAGGTGTTGGATCAGGGTTTCGATGGCTGATTCGGGAAGGAGCTGTGAGCCTGATGTTGACACCATTACCTGTTCAAGTAGTCAGCACAGCGCGGAGCTCGTTTTGGTTCATATAAAGGGATCTAGAATGGAATCTGAGACGTACAGGATCAACGATACTGGTGTTGATCTCATGTCTCTTCAAAGCATCCGCAGCGACCACAATGGTCTCAGCAGATGCAAGCATGCCTGTATCTTATCAGCGCGTTCACCAAAAAATGGTGTCTCTCTGAATGTCATCATACCTGTCTTGACCACATCCACGCCCACATCTTCACAGACAGCATCTATCTGCTTCCGCACAAAGTCCGGCGGGGTATGGTGTATGTCCTGGACGCCTAGAGTATTCTGGGCTGTCAAAGCAGTCGTAGCCGTCATAGCATAGCAGCCATGCGCTGCAATGACCTTCTGATCTGCTTCTAGTCCGCTGTTGGCGTGGCAGCATGGTTAGTGGTGTGTGGCTGATGAAGGGCGGATGCATGCACGCGTACGTACGCCCCACCCGAACTGTCCGAGCCAGCGATTACTAGAATGCGTCTGGGTGCCATTGTCGATCGAGAAGAGTATGCAGGCGTTGCTTCACTATCGTCTGGATACAACATGTAGTAAGATCCCCTACATCGTTTTCTCTAGACAACCCTGGAGCCCCACCATCCGCGAATACGCGTACGCGAGATCCACGTCATCGACTCGCACCTTTGATGCTGTCGCAGGCCGTGGAAGCTGCGCAGCCGACGCTGTAGAAGGTTGCACAAATTCGTACACATGTGCGCGTGCTGCCCTTGACTTCCTGGATGATATCCATTGTTCTATCAATTATACCTAGGTCAGCTTTGAAGGAATCCATTTCCTAATATTGACAATTCGGTAGATCAGCGTAAGCAGAAGAAGCCTTGTCAGGCATCTTCAGTAACGTAAAAGTCTGAGCACATTGAGTCGCTTCTGTAAACAGGCAAGCATCTCATGGACCGGCCACGCCGACCCGCAGATATCAAGCCACCATCGCCATCACGAACCCCAAGAGTACCATATGCCTCATCACGCAACAGAGGAAACAATTCGATGCATCTTTTTTTCTTTGCCTCTTCTAAAACGTACTACGCATTCGTGTATGATGCAGTTGGATAGCTGTAGTTCATGCACGTGTTCTTCAGGATGTTCAGCGTCCCGTTCAATCGACCGGTCTAGTGAACCAGTACATTATACTTGCGACTTCTCTCATTTGTGACACTATGTGTGAAACAGCAATAATGCTGCGATGTGTGCGCGAAGGTTAACAACCATTTCCTCCCTCGGAGTACCACGCTTCCGGCAGTTTAATCTTAACGGCTCCATTGCAACCTTGCCACAAGTCTCAGAGTTGATAGCCTCCATGATCTTGCGGAAAGACAGGAGATACACTAGTTAAGACGATGCATAAGATCTGATAAGCCGCTGGCATTGGAGATGCGAATGTGTACCCATTGCGACAGCTGGAATTTGCTTGGGGCCTTGAACAGCCACTTCGTGCAATATGCGGTCGTCAGTGTCAGGCGACTACCACAGTCCTTTGATCTGCGATACACGTTGCGTAGGCTCAAACACTTCATTGCTGTCCGCCGTGTTCGTCTTCGACACACCACCACTGTCCGTGAATGTTGGAAAAGCTGCAGCATCATTGTTGGCATTCGCGTCCCATCCCAGAGTCTCTTCCTTATCATAGTCTACCGGGGCCCAGGCTGCGTCCTCATCCTCTGGTACGAAGAGGCTTTCCGAATCGTCACGGGCAGGTTGTGCTTGCAGTGCCGAGACTTGACGAGATCCTGGATTCCGCACTCGACCAGAGGCATCGCGTCGCGATGCTGGTTGCACAGGCGGTGGCATATTAGATCGGAAGCTGCGACTCTGTCCACGCTCCGCAGTTGTGGTTGAGGTCGTGCGAGAGGTTTGTCTGCTGCTCATTGCGTGCGTCGCAGGTGTTGGCGCAGATGGAGCGGCGGTGTGGTTGCCAGAAGTCATTAGCGTAAACTCACAGAGCAGCCCATCGCTTCCATAGCTGAACTGGAGTGGTCGCGCTGGCTGGGAGTAAAATGCCTTTAAGCTTGTCTTGATCGTGTCTGCATGGACGACTATTGCCTTGAAATCCTTGACGTTGATGATGATGTGCATACCCGCCTGCACAGTAAATTCCTCGAAGTCGGAAGTATTGACTGCGACGGCTGTGACAAGTGGGTGCTTCAGGATTTCCTTCCCGTTCGAGATCTTTTCTGTGTAGCTTTTAAATACGCAGCGTCCGTCTTCACTCGCAAAGATATCGAGCATTTCGGTCTTGGTACCGAAATATTCAGCGTACTCCTTCACAGCCCCGGAGTGCATGCTCCACCTGTTTTTCGCCGCGTTGCGATCGAACAGTGCATGCATGACGTCCACGGCTTCATATGTGAGCTTGTAGGTCTTGATGACACCCTGGTTGCAGATCATCTTGACGATGAACCGACATTGCGCCTCGGTTTCCCGCTCTTGCACACTGACTTCACAGCGATCGATCGCACCATCACGCCCTAGCGGGTCGTACAAGCGACTTTTGAAGACCGATAAGAGCGCTTTGGTGTACATACTGCACGTGAAGCGGCCGTCAGGACCGCCATAAGTCGGCACACATTCATAGCTGGCGAAGAATTGTCGACCGTCTAATGTGATGGCGGCGTATGCGGATTTGGAAGAGTTGAGAGCGGTAAATGTGAACTGACGCAGGACGTATGAGATGCCGGACTGGCTGAAAGGAAGAGCGGCAAACCTACCTTTTCGCGACGCGCTTCAATAGCTACAGTCTCGCTGAACTTGCCAAGGCAGACAAGCAGATCGTGAACCTTTGACGCTGCCTCGGGCTTCAGGGTGAAGTTGAGGACAACCATTTTGTCTTCGTGCGACTGCTCGCATTTGTCGCAGGGTGTTTTGGTGGGTTCGCGAAGAGCCCCAGCGACCGAAAGCGGGACCTCGGGGAGAGCGCGTCAAACACGCGCTAGCGCATTGACATCATCGCGCCTACTCTGATGGGCGGCCATCTATTCACCTTACTTAGGAGCACGATCTCAGCCCTCGTAAGCGCAAACAAAATGACTCAATCAGTGCTTCCTGATGATATTCTGCATCTCCTATGCGAAGAGCTTGCGAATCAAGAACAGTTCGACACACTCTTCAACTGTGCTTGCGCAAGCCGTGCTCTCGCCGTACCTGCATTAACTCATCTGTATAAGTATGTCGCATTGGCCTCGCTACTTTATCGTCAATTAACTGAAGTGATCGTTAGATCTCATCATCTCGCGCCTGTTCGAGGTGGAGGAGAAGATCTCTATGGCTTACCAGCTGCCACCAAGCTTCTCACGATCCAAAAATGGTACGTAACCTTTACCGTGCGAACTGTATGAGGCAAATACTGACTTCGTATACCCATATTTAGGTCCATTCTTTGGCGATCAATTGTCGCATCTGCACTCGATGTCACACTGTTCCCATACTGCCGTTATATCAAATCGCTAGACTTTCGGGATCTGGGATATCTCCTCGATGACGACCAATTCCGTGCGAAAGTTTCCAAGTCAGTACAGCTTCGATGTCAGACACCACCAACTCTGATTGTAATATAGGCAATTCTTCTCCGGGCTGTTGAAGCAGTTCGAGAAGACTGAGACAGGGACGAACATCAAAGGCAGAAAGTATACTCGGATAAAGACAGCGGATATTATTGATGCGATTGGTGAAGGTTTGATAAATGCGCGAAGCTGTTCAGTACGATACTAACGTGGTGCAGTGGTCACACAGCATACTCCAACCCTGGAGATCATCAGCGGGGAACGTAAGTACATCCTTCCTCTCAGCATTCGGATATGAGCTAACTATACTAGTCCAGCCTGGTGCTCTGGTACGATGGACGCCCCGGCTTCCTCGACTACAGAGCCTTGAGCTGTGGGACGGAAAGCCGCTAGAAGACGAACTGGTCCATGCATCTATCTACGACCACTGTCCGCAGTTTAAATCTCTTATGATCTATACCTGGGTCTCAGAAGACAATGATCACAAGTTCGCCAAATTCCTCTCCTCAATGCGACCGAACACGCTCCAAACACTCCAAACCATCAGCGACGTCAAGGCCGGCGCCGAGTCACTACTAGCTCTTAATCACCATGGAAGCTCATTAGAGGATCTGAGACTGTGCGTTTCGAACGAGTCGATACCGCATCTGTCGCTACTACAAGGATGTACAGCCTTAAGAACGCTGCGCATTGAGGACATACATGGTACTGTAGACTTGGAAGCGACAGAATATGACGTCTTCCTCGAGACGACTGCCTGGTTACGCAAATGTTCAGATCTACAACGCCTCAGCTTCTCGAAAATGCAATCCGGAGCCGCACTCATCACGCCCGTACTGCTCGAAGAGAAGATACAACTCAGCAGCCTAGAGATAGACTCGTACACGCTAAAAGATCACAAGACGTTCCATCAGGCTCTCGTACACCAGCAGTCTTCTTTGAGGGTGCTCTTCCTGAGTGGCGATACCGATGGCATGTTTCGAGATGATCTGGATACTCTCGTGGACTCTTTGAAGCAATTGACAGAGCTGCGAGATCTGCACCTCATCCTTCCGGAGGTGCTGCGGGATGAACATCTCGTCACCATTCTCGCCGAGCTCACAATGCTAGAGGATTTGTACGTAAGCGGCCTGGAGCTCAACGACATTGTGCTTCCTCACCTCGCCAGCTTGCCAAATCTACGTACCGTTACTATTTCCGGTATATCCAAATTCACCATGGATGGTCTCCTGGATTTTGTATCGAGACTCGGCCCGGGTAATCAGGCCATTCGCCTCTCGATAGATATGGCAGACACAGATACGCTGCTCTCGGAAGAGGAGTTGACGCTGGTGAGGGATAATCTTGCGGAGAAGGCTGGTGGTACGTTGGAGTACATGGCACTTCGAGGTATGTATCTGCGCGATGAGCAGGCAACAAACAAGATGACATACTGACCACATTCGCCTAGATCCGAATGTCCCGGAATTCGAAAGCGACTCCGACTGAGGCTTGTTCTTTGCATTGTTCAAGATACTGCAATTGAAGCTGGGCAATCATTCGACTTGTCTGTTGGATAAAGGATGTGAAAGAGGCTTCTGGCAAGACATGCTCAGGACTGGAATAGCTTTTCCAAGTGCAATGATGAAGATATTAAGAGACTTGTTCCTCGTCCTCTCTCAACCTAGAAGAAAAACATAATTGAACTTTTTGAAAGCAAAACACGTAAACCAGAAGAACAACCCGATGAGCCATGACATACTCAGTCCATGTCAGTATCACTATCTTCTTGACTCTGATCAACGCATTCTTTCAGCGCCAGAATCCTCCGCTCGTAAACGTCTTGCTGCAACTCTGGGAAGTGTTGCAGTAGCTCAATGAAGCTCGACCTCAAGTGGTCGTCCTTGATATATTCCCAGAAGTTGTCCGCAATGTATACGGCCAAATGACCCTTAAGATATTCATGGGAGATTGAAGTTGTCTCGCGTGCGTAAACATGTCGACAGAACACCAAGATCTCCAGCATTTCTGGTTCCAAGCGCTCTAGCTTCTCAACGGTGTGGTCCATCATGTCTGACATGCCCAACTTCTCCGCGGTGACCCATGCCGCAACACATTGCGCGAATGCCTCTGTCATTTCCTCGCCATCTTGCGGGTTCCGATGTCCGAAGTCATCACTCTCCAGGTATTCTGCGACGAAGACGAAATCGTCCGGCTTGATGTCGAACAGAGAAGGATGTTTGAGCTCCCACATCCCTCTTTTGTTGTAATCAATCAAAAGAAGGCCCTGTTTGGGATCCCTGAAATAGTGTCGGTTCCATAAGCTCTGCAGTGGAAACGTATCGATTTCTTGGTCAGGTCCGACCAGAACTTCAACAAATTCCTTGCTTTCGGACCTAATCATGTTAGCTGAGAAGTTTTGAGAGATCAAAAAACTTACAGTTCACCCTCGATGGTGTCGTTGATGGGTTCTTTCCGACCACGGCCCAAGCTGCGGAGCTGATTATCCAGGAAACCACCCGGTTGGAACTGTCTCGATTCGATTGATGTACTACAGTCATCTGCTAGTTCTATAGGCGTATCCTTTCTGCTCATATGTAGCCGACCCTGCGGGGTTGATGCGTCACGGTGGACTCTGGACGGCTGCGATGAGATGGCGACAGATCTCGAGGGAGCTTCCCATGCATTTGAAATCGTGTTTGGGGCACTATCCGCGCCGGCGATGACGGGAACGCAACGATTGCTCTGGAACCTCGCTGGTCTTGCTGATGACAGTGGTGCGTTTGGTAAGTTGGAAGAACCTTTCGCAGTCCATCCTTTCGATCGTTTGCTATAGTAGTGTTCTCGGCTCAAGCGGAGAGCCTCTCGCAGCTCTAGATCTGAGTGTGAATCCTCATCTGAGTCGTTCGCATCGTTGTCTGAGTCTGAAGCGTCGCTGACTAGATTCATCAGTTGTGCTTTCCAGTAAGCAAGATCTAGACCTGATTCAAGCGCGTTGTTCGCCATTATATATGCATCACCGAGGCCGGGTGTGCTCCCGATGACCTCCGCATGCGTATGGGGCGCGAAAGGGTCATATTCCCCTATGTCTTCGGTATGCGCCCAGCGACTTCTTGAGTTAGCAGAGTCAAGATATTCATCAAGCTACAATGTTTCTTACAGGATCAACTGCTCGCCCATCAGCAACACCAGAATTGAATTACCATGAGGTCGTATTTCCCTGACTTCTTCTGTGGCCATGTCTTCTTCACAGATGACTGCGGGCCATAGTGGAAAGAATGACGTTGGTGTTTGGTACTGTATCAGGGCACCTGGGGAAAATCGCATCATGATCTTGTTGGTTACGAAATATAGAGGCGTTTAGAGTGGCAGAGGGGAATGAGAGCTGGTGAGCGATAGTTGTGTGATAGTTGTAGATCAAATCTCAATCTATTGGGAGGAGGAAGAATTGAGCAGTGTTGTATGTGAGCGTCTAAACGAAGCCTAATATAAGAAGACATCGTGTGGATACGTTCTCAGGGTAAAGGCGGGCTCAGGTGAGGGCTATCATGCCAGGTGAAAGACGAAAACAGACCCCCACGCGCGAAAAGTCACTCTCAACCGTTATCAGACCGATACATGGTGAGACTGAGGCTTATGGGTTGTATGCCGCTATCTGGAAGTGTGTGGTATGTTGTTATGGTCAACTAGTAGGAAGGGATGCGGAGTTCATAGCTCACACCTCGGAGGTTGACTAAGCTGCCCGCAACAGCGCCCGGGCGAAGCCAAGGACATCTGGCTTCAACATCTCGAACACGAATTCCCCGACGCGCAAGTCGCCGCGCCGCCCACCTCTACACATACCCCCCGAATACGTTTGCAGTGGATTATACTCTCTGGACGCGAGTTTACGACCCGGTCGCGCGCCCCACGTCCTACTCCACGATCAACGAGCGCACCTCTACCTCCAACCTTCGCATCAGCATTCCCAATCCGCAGCCATGTTGGGCCTTGCGAACATGCAGCCGCGGCAACTCGCCGCACAAGTCCTGAACTTCGCGCTCGTCCTGTCAACCGCCTTCATGATGTGGAAAGGACTATCCGTGGTCTCCGACTCGCCCTCGCCCATTGTCGTCGTCCTGTCAGGATCCATGGAGCCTGCATTCCAACGAGGAGATCTGCTGTTCCTGTGGAACCGGGGGGCGGATACACAAGTGGGCGAGATTGTGGTGTACAACGTCAAGGGCAAAGACATCCCGATCGTGCATCGCGTTGTGAGGAGATATGGAGGAGGGTGAGTTGCGCTCCTTCCCTTTCGCTGTGACTGAGGCTCTCAATGAGGGTTGGAGGAGTCAAGATCAGCTCGCAGGTTTCCAGACGTTACCACAAAGCTCATGCTGACCCAACTACTAGCAAAACACCCCTCCGCCTCCTGACCAAGGGCGACAACAACCTCGCAGACGACACCGAACTCTACGCCGCCGGCCAATCCTTCCTGAACCGCAAAGAAGATGTCATCGGAAGCGTCGTCGGCTTCATACCATTTGTTGGATACGTTACCATTCTGCTGAGCGAGCATCCATGGCTGAAGCAGGTCATGTTAGGCATGATGGGTGTGATGGTGGTTTTACAACGAGAGTAGTACTTGCGCATTCGCATAGGGTGCTTTTCACGTCAATGGATATCTTTCCAAAAGGTGGGAGAAAGAGATGGGTGGTAACGATGTGGTTGGACTGCCCCGTGCCTACCATGATCTATGTGTTTCTGCTGCCAGGAGGCGGCAATGCTAGGCGTTCAAATCATACCCAGACAATGTTCAGTATCTGTCAAAGTCGAAAAGTTATACCGGCGATCAAGCTTCCATCCAGCTACGTTCTCTAGACTGTAGACCAGCGCCTCATGCGCATCTTGCATTCACTAGTGAGCATACCTAAGCACACTTCAGGGGTTTGTTTCCGGACAAGAGATTCACCGCCTGCACCTTCCCAATGCCTCCTAGAATGACATCACCTACCTCATTTCTACATCACTAAGCCTTCACTCCCACGCGACACCCCCGCCAAAAACACACCCCACCTTCCATGGAGGAGCGGCAAAAAGAAAGCAATGCGCCGTACGGGGTTTGACTAATTGATTGTTAGCTCTACGATTCGAATTGAGGCATTGTTGGTATTTCATACACCCGTGATCCCCGCCTTGTTTGTCGTCCGATGTACGATGGGAAGGCGATAGCATACCACTAGCCCAACGGCGCTTTGATGCAATGATTGATTGATGGAATAGGAACGAGTTAGAGACATTATATAGGCGACTTGAGGTAGAGTGAGTGGATTGAGGGGGTGGGGTTCGTGAAAGTGTGGTTGTGAAGCCAGGGAAACAACCCCTACCGTGAATGCGGGCACCCGGTTCGGCGGTGTGAGGAAACGTCAAAGACCTGTCGCTAGAGGGCCAACTTCCGGTTGCTACGAACGGAAGGGTCTATCACGCCGTCATGGCCTACTTTTGACAGCAGGCAAGACACAAACTTCAACGTCAGGGGCTGAGCTGGGACCTGAGCTACCATCAGCATGCGTAGTGCTACGCCCAATCCTGATCGCATCAACATCACGGTCACACAGCAGAGGGAACATTGTAGAAGCAGCAAAGACTTTCCATACCGCAATTGCTAGTGTACATAGACTTGGTCATGAGCTTCGTGATGTTCCTTTCACGACGTCGAGGGTAAGACGCCCAAACATCATGACCGCCCGCCATCAGCGTGGTTTGCACTGACCGCCAGCGTCCTTTTCGAAATGAACCACAGATTGGCTAGCCGAAGACCTTCCTCCGCGAGAGATAACGAACCCATTAAGAAGTAGGAAGATCACAAATGAAATCGAGACAGGCTTGGTAGCCTAGCCGCCCATGACAAGACATCTTCAACGCTGTTGGTGGAAGCACGAATGAGGCGATAGCCTCTACTCGGACTCCTCTTCTTCTTCCTCGGCGTTCTGGTGATGGTTAGTCAAGTGATCATCAATTTGAAGTGCACGCATCAACATACCTGGTAGGCGGCCTTCTCCTCCTCGTACCGCTTCTTGTCGGCGGCAGCCTTGGCCTCGTAGGGAGTGCGCTGCTTCTCGTTCAGGGCCTTCCACTTCTCGCCAAGAACCTTGCCGACCTCGCCTGTTCAATGTTAGAGGGGAGTCAAAGATGGAGAAAGAGCGCAAACATACCGAACTTGATACCGGGGTTGTCCTCACGGACCTTCTCGCGCTGCTCGTTGGCGAAGAACATGTACGCGGAAAGACCACGCTTGGGCGCGTTGGGGTCTGCTGGAATCAGTACCCGAGTCTGCAGATGCACGTGAGCTGCTTACCCTTCTTCTTCTTGCCGCCGTCAGCCTTGGACTTAGGCGCGGCCTTGCGGGTGGTCTTCTCCTTGGGCATGGTGGTGGTTGAGTGGTGTATATGGCTGTGGTTCCTTGTTAGCTGCTGTTTGGGTTGCAAGCAGCGAGTAGGTAAGAGTAGCGTGGCAGGAAGGCACAATGACTGCTGGTGAGATTGAGAATGCGAGTATAGGCCACAGCTAGTGTCTTCGTCTGCAAACGGAGTAGTGTTGTGGTGAGTGGGTAATGGTGGTGCAGCGCTGCTATGCGCGTGAGGTGACGCGGTCGCAAAACACCACAACACAACGCGATGATGCGCGATTTTCGGGTAAGAGAAGGTGTGGGTACTTACAGAAGCAGCTAGATGGGAGCAAATTGGAAGTGTTGACTGAGGTCTGTTTTGCGGTCAGTATGCGCGTGGCAGTGGGTGCTGGCGACGGCGATGAAGAATCGACTGAAGGTAATGACGTTCAGAAGACGGAAGAAAGAAGGCTGGGAGAGTCCATATTGGGGCAATTGGACCGGGGAAACGCGTGGAAAAAGGGTGTGGTTGCGAAAAGTGGTGCTGGTGATGTTGCGACTTCGTCAAAATGCAGGCGGACTCACCAAACGTCTTTGCGGGCGAAAGTTGTATGGGCGGCGGATTTGTTAGGGGAGGAATTGGGTGAGGGCTCAGCAGCACATTTTGTGAGAGGGAAGGCGCGCCCTCCCCCAACAACAAGGCCCGCTTACCTAAGGTGCGAACGAGGCAGGCACGCTTGTTTTGCTACTGCCATAGCACACGCACCCGGACCACGACCCCTCCTCCACCCAGCCGATGCTGCGCTCCCTCACCGCATGCGCCCGATGCAGATGCCAGCGATTGTGGACAGCTTCATTGTCGCTTTTTTGCTGCTCGCACTGCCGTCCACTTTCTAGCAGACGTGTCGGTGTCGCCCAGGTATGCTCGGAGGTGCTCGCACTGCTGCGGGCTACACGGCGCATCCCTGGGCGCGGAGGCGCTGCCCTTCGTTCTTTCCTGGCGAGTTTCAAGTTTGGTTAGATTGCACGCAGAAGCACACGGTCTACCATTCGTTGGACGCATCCATCAGAAGCGGCCCTTGACGTTATCATTCATAGCGCGGCTGGCTGATGTTCTTCCCCGAGCACCAGAGCACCCAGCATCCAGTCCCAGTCGCCCAACCTGCCCACCCCTCAAAGCATCCGCCTGCAGCCCGTTTGGTGTTCTGAGCAAGCCCAGAGCAGCAAAGTTACATGTCAGCCTACGTCTGGTCGCAGACTCTGCCGCACAAGCCGTGACTCTTGCCTTCTGTCATAGCTGGGCACGCTATGGTGATGGGCGGCGGCCTCTGCACCCGCTTCCGGCCACAGCGGTCTGGCTCTGCACTTTCGCCCGACCGAGCACGGAAGCGGTCGCTAGGCTAATGCGAGACACTGCTCCAATACTGCTCGTCCACTTGCCTCAAGAAACACTCTTTGTTCCTCCTGGCTGCTTATCACGTTGGAATCGTGGCGGACGTGTTCGGCCATCGGCCTCTCAAGCCCCTAACAGCGGAGCAGACGCTCAGACTCGCCCTTTCAAAAGCCACCGAGGGCTACAGACTTTCGCGTACCCTCCCGACGTGACCCATAGCTGTCAGGCCCTCATCTTACTGAAGAAGTTCCGTCTGCATCTATGTAAATAGGACGCACGACGTTGGGCATCACCGCTCTCGCATCAGCCATGACGTTTATCATCAACAAACATCATGAAGCGCAAGATCGTGCAGCAGCATGCAGGCACCTCAACAAGTCATTAAATGTGTACATACGGCTGCTCTCAGATACAGTTCGCATCCATCCATAGTCGCAGCAGCAGACGAAAGGATGGATGGCACTCAATCGTCCTCATCCTCCATGACGAGCTCCGTCAGACCCTCGTCCGCAGCCCAGTTGATCCCGCTACCCACGATCATGGCTGATAATATACCTTTCAACGTCCTCACCCTCCGTCGCGAGTCCTTGAGCTCCTTATCGACCGCATCGACGCGTTGACGTAATTGCGGATCTTCAATGTCCTGCACCGACTGCGCCTTCATTTCTTCGGCCAGAGCAAGCATGGTCTGCGCCAGCTCTCGGTTCTTTTGATTTGCGACAATGTTGTTCTGTTCGGCCACACTCAGAAATTTATTCGTAGAAGCAAGCTTCGACGTCAGTGAGCCATGGATCATGGAAACAGCATCGTTCTCGGTCACCAGCGGCAGTATGCGCCTACACAACATCAGACCATGATTCAGAGCGATCTGCCCAGGAACTCACTTCTCGGCGAATGGAGTCTGTTCGCCGCCATGAACGGCTTTCAGAACGGGATCCATTACTAGAACATTGTGTGTGATTTTGTTCCTTATCTCGTACTCTGCCCTCGCTTCCATAGCCTCGCGCTGCGCAATAGTCAGGCGCTCCTCCAGCAGGTCATCTGGAAGTGATGCAAAGTCATGCGCGTGTACTACAGAAGGCGATTAATATACGAAGATGCTATATCATACCATGTGCGAGACGTGCCTGATTGTTGTGCTTGTAGCAGGCTTTGCTGCAGTTCAAGTTCCTTGAGCTGATCGTAGAGCTGTAGGGCTAGCTCCTCGGTATCTGAAAACGCGAACGCGTCGCTATGGTTTGTTTGCAGCAAGTCCGCGTAGTCGTTTGGATCTTGTGTTTTGGCCGTCGCGTCTGCCATGCCAACATCGCCTTTGGCCGCCATAATGCTCGCAGACGGTGTTGACGTAAATTCAAGTTTGCGACCGAGACCGTGTTCACCTGACGGCACGCGATGGTTCCTCTAGGTGACTGCTATGATGCAGCCTCGCGGGGCCCATGCGCCGATCCCTGCATTAACCCTCCTTGGCGGTATCTGGTACGCATGTGCTCACGCCTCAACTTTCCAAGCCTCGAATCCGCTCTCGCACGGTTTCGACACAACTCCACCAAGCGGAGGGCAAGGCCGAATGTCGCTACAGATCGCTGTAGCTCATACGGGCCAGCGCCTCGACGCTGATCCCGTCGCCTTTACTACAGTCGATGCGCTCAAGCACTGGATCTCGAGGGCAACCGAGATAGCGCCCGAGCAACAGGTCTTACTCACAACACAGGGCAAACACGTCAAGCTCCAAGCGCTCTTAACTGAGGTACGCGTCTACTGTGGGATTTGTAGGACACACACTAATACTTGTGCCACAGAAAGAGATATTCGTCTTCAGTCGCGAACTCTCCAACAATCCGCAGGCTGCCATATCCTCCACACCACTGCCCGATGCCTTCCAACCCGACGATGCGCCGAACCACCTTGCGAAGAACACCGACCTCGGAGCATGGCAGGCTCTCTTCCAGGCCCGCCGCGACTGGGCCTTTGGCCTGCTCGAAAGGTCGCTCTCCATGTCCCAGATCGCCTCGAAGCACTTTGCCGAACAAGCCACCATCGAGAGAGCAACCCAGGTCGCCGTCGGGAATCACGATGCGCACATCAAGGGCTTGGACCAGAAGTACAAGGCAGCGAGGGAATGGTACGACGGGGTCGAGAAGGAAGCCGGGGACAACATACGGCGGCTTGACGCCGACTTTGAGCAGCTGGGAACGGTGCCTGCTACCTTGAACTTCGCGCGCTTCTTGGCCAAGGAGATGAGATCTTCCCAGAGCATTCCCAGTAGTACTCTTGTTCGCAAGACCCTCCAAGAGTTCCTCGACGTCGAAGCGATCAAAAAAGCTACATCAACCAGCAAGCGCGTTCGGGAGGCTTTTGGCAAACACATGGATAGGATGCGCATGCAGCTAGAGAATATCGAGACAGATTACAACCAACTTCTGGGCGCCGTCGGCCAAAGCCAGAGCCGTTCCATGGCTGATGACTCCGAAGAGCCCACGCGCCTGTACAACGAGATCGATGCCGTCGTTAAGAAGGTCGAGTCGGACTTTGAACACGTCATGGGGCTAGAAGCAAACCCGAAGTCGGTCGCGCAGGTGTCCAAAATGGCCTTGCTCCACACACGAAACTTTCTACCGGCCATACAAGAATACAGCGTGGAGATGAGCGATCTCGTGCGACGGGCGGTGGAGCAGAAGAACGCTGCCATCAGGAACTCGGTCGAGAGCATGCAGGGTATCGCAAACATCGAATCGGTCATTGCGAGCGTCGGCGCGCAACTTGAGCAGATCAGTATCCCAGACGATGGTGTCGCTGCCTTTGAGCTCATTTCCCTCGTCGGTCGGCTGCCTTATGTATACGGTACACTGCTAGTCGAAGCCGTCCGAAGACGGGAGTGGACAGAAAGGATGGAGAAGGATACATCCTCGCTTGCTGAGGAAATGGCAACCTTTCAGGAAGAGGAAGAGCGTCGGCGCAAGCGATGGCTGAAGCCAATATCAGATGTTGTAAACCTCGAAGCCTTGCAAGGTGGCTCATTAGGATTCGAGCTTAATGTGCAACCTGAAAAGACCGTCTGGCCGATGGTCACTCGAGAAGAGCTCCAAGATTACCTCCAGGACTTGCAGAGACTGGATGGACAGCAATCGGAAGCCGAATTATTTGCCCAAGCTATTAAGGATCTTGACCGACCTACAAAGCAGCAGATCAAACGCGCGAAGAACTTCAAGATGGGTAGTGTTCATGAGCCAGCTTTCGGCAGAGGCTCTCAGCTCATGATGCGAGGCGATGATGAGCTACGTGTACTCAAAGAGGGCAATGCAAAGCTCGAGGAGGAGCTGAAAGGCTATAGGAGCCGGGTGCGACGATTGGAGGATCTGGTACATCGCCAGAGTACGGCCAACAGACTCTCAATAGGTGGCGCGCCTCCCTCATTCGGTATACCTGACCCAACCGACCCCGCGACGCCAACAACAGAAGTCGCTTCACCGAGACCCCAAGAAGAGCTATCCCGTCGCTCTTCGATCTCTTCCAGGCGCTACTCGGCGAATACAGGACAAGAAGACAAGCGTCGTATTCTTCGCCTTGAACAACAGCTCGCGGCGGAGAAAGAGGCTCGTGCCAAACTTGAGAGCGATGCGCAAGCACGGAGAGACGAGGATGCAGATCAGCAACGCCAGTTTGAGGAGGCCATGTCAACCAAGAACAACATCATGGAAAACATGCGAGCGCAACAAAAAGAATTTGCCGACGAACGCAAATCGCTCGAAGACGAGATCCGCGCATGCAAGGCCAAGATCGAAGAAGCCGAAGAAGAACTTGATCGCGTCCTAGGCAGTCGGGATAATGAGCGAACAGGTGTAGATGCTAGAGTCCAGGAGCTGGTTTCGCAACTCGAAACAACCCGCAAAGATGCTGCCGAACAGAGTAAACAAGCAGATAAGCGCATCGAAGCTCTTCAAGCGGAGCTCCGTGAGCGCTCAGCAGTCAACACGCAGGAGTTTGACTCGCTGACAGCAACCTTCAACCACCTGTCGCCAGGTACCAACGTACCGGACGATCACGCTACGCTTGTCGCACAACTTGAAGATCTTGCAGCGCGATCACTCAACCACCAAAAAGAGCTAGAACAGGCTGTGGCGATGGCAAAGTCAGACAACGAAAACGCCCATGCTAGGATCGAAGAGCAAGAACAAGACTTCAACACCAAGCTTGCCGAACACGAGAAGGAAGTTGCAGCTGTCCGCGAAGAGCTTGACGTGGAGAAGGCCCGTGTCACTTCTATCACTACAGAACTTGAAGAGGAACGAGAGCACCTACATAGCCTCCGCGCCAAGTTCGCTGAAGGCGAGACCGGCTCCGAAGCTCTCCGGAAGCGCGTTGAGGAGGAGGAGGCCAAGGTTGGTCGTCTTCAAACCGAGCTCGCAGAAAAGAGCTCGCACGCCAACAGCCTCGATGTCGAGCTTATGCGCGTAGAGAAGAAACTCCGCAAGCTTGAGGAAGCGGACTCGTCCCGTACTCACCAACGTATGCATCGGGCGAAGGACCTTAGTGAACGGCTATACACGCAGCATGAGCGTCTGATCCGTCTAGTCGAGACACTTGGATTCGTCATCACTCATGAGAACGGTGAAATGATCCTCCAGCGAGCGTCTAGACTTGGGAATAGCACCATCATGACAGACACTAGTGCAGGACTTAGTCGAAGTACAACAACGCCCTCGCCCACTCCCCTCAAGCGTTTCTTGGAAGACGTCGGAGATCTTCACTTCCTCCAATGGACCGAATCTACAAGCCCAGAGGAAGAAGATCAGCGGTATCAGGAACTTATTCAGAAGCTCGAGCTCTTCAACACCGAAACCTTTAGCGACGCTGTTGCGAAGCGGATGCGCGACATGGAGCATACTGCACGAAAGTGGCAGAAAGAAGCCCGAGCATATCGTGACAAGGCCCATCGCTTCCAGGCTGACTCGCATGACAAGATCGCCTATCGCTCCTTCAAGGAAGGCGACCTTGCACTCTTCTTGCCGACCCGCAACAATGCCCATCGCCCTTGGGCTGCCTTCAACGTTGGCGCACCACATTTCTTCCTCCGCGAGCAGGACACGCATAGATTGGGAGGGAAAGAGTGGCTTGTAGCGCGCATTTCGAAGGTGGAGGAGCGCGTTGTCGACCTTTCCAAGACGATGGATGGTGCAACTCGAGCATCGTTAGATGGTCGATCTGTCGCCTCTAGCAATGCCATTTCATTCGAAGACGACAATCCTTTCGATCTATCCGACGGATTACGATGGTACCTGCTGGAGGCGACTGAAGAGAAGGCGATGGCTCCAGGCACCCCAGGTATTAAAGGTGCAGTCACGGTGAAGAGCAGCCTAGAAACCGGACTGGGCGAGATGCAGAAAGCCAAGAAGAAGTCCTCCATGGACCCGGCAACTCAACTTGGGAAATCACTCGACAGTCGCCGCAGCAGCGGGACAAGCAAGAAGAGCGCGCCCCTAGTTGGCCGTCACAATTCGGCTGAAGCGCTCTCGCCAGCTGAACGTCCCGACTCGAACCCAAACTCTGCGACAGCAACACGGGGCGCGAGCCCAGCTGGCACACATGGTCCTAGCCATCTCAGGGAGTCGTCAACGAACGGCGTAGACAAGTCTGCGGACGATGGAAATGGAGGCAATGTGCGCGACCTACTATGGGGACCTTAGGTTTTCGCTTTCTGTAAATCTAAGCTCCCCGAACCATAACCTTTGCTTACATTGCTAACACTACGCAGTCCTCCATCGCCCAGCTCCAATCCCCCCGCAAGACCTCCATATCAGGCCCATCGAATACACGATCGGATACATCTCCCGTCAAAAGCAGACTCGGAAGTCAAGGCGATCTGAGAAGTCCTCTTAGTGACTCTCGAAAGTCGCCGCTCGCGAGGAAGGGAAGCATATGGGATTCGTTTTTTCAGTACGACATCGAATATCAGGGCAAAGCATCGAAGAAATAGACTTCTTTGAAGCGGTTGGAGAACGTTTGTGTACATCATCCTGAGTGCAAGTATCATCGCATTCGCTGAAAATATCGGCTAGTTCATTGTACATTATATAGGATCGCATGCATGATTAAGAAGAAGCAGGCTTGCTGAGGTATATGCTCTGATACCACACCATATGATAGATGTATAACTACTATTCAGTTCGCACCTTGACACTCCATTAGGAAGGCTGAGGAAGATTACACGCTATAGCACCTCCAGGTCTTTCCCCGTCTTTCGTGGTGGTTGTCGCTCACACGCCCGGGTGCCGCATGTTTTCGGATCTCGGCTCAGGCGTTCTCTTGTAGTGTATTTTAAGCAGGAACACCAATGCGGTATCCTACCTATATTGGCTTCGGAAGAAGGCATCGCATGCTTTTGTATGGCTGCTTCGTGTATCACATTTTACAAGCGATGCCGAATTCGCGGATCAATGTATATGTCTGGTGTCGTGGTTTCATTTGCCAAGGACTCTGTCGTCGGCATGTAGGATGCCTAACCGCCACCACGGCAAAGCGGCTGTGATGTCATGGTTCTATACTGTGAGTTGGCCGAATGTAGCAGGGTGATGATGACTGGAGCGGTATAAAGAAAGAGGCGGTCACCCCGACTGCTATGGCTCTACAGCCTGAGAAAAACAACCCCAACGAGTTCTCCACGACGTCCATCCAACATGCTTCCTCGTATGAAACACCTAGTCCTTGCTTCTGTGCTAGGCACGACAGCGTACGCACAATCGTCTTCTGATTCTGACCCCGAGTCCTTGACATGCGATGATCTCTCCGATGGCCTCGCATACAATGCCTCCGTCACCCACAACACAACTGCTCTAAGCATGTCCTGGCTCGCAAGCGAATTAGTGCCATTGTTCTCCGAAGACAACGGGATCAATTGGCAGATCTCATCTTATATCGGGCCTTACATCTGACCTGGAGGTGGAATCAGCGAGAACGACACTCAATCCGTTCTATGGTTCGACGTTGGTGAATCGGATATAGAACGTTTAGGCAATCGGATGAGTTTCTGCCACAACGTTGTCCCGTTGCAGGACTTCACCAGCTCGAATCTGACGTTTAGCAGACAAGTTTTGGAGAGGGCGCAAGATGACAATGGGGATTGTAAGACGATGCTTGGAGAAGAATGTGTGCAAGCTCTCCAGGCTCATTACTCAAGTACATTCCTTGTGTGGGGATCTCAGGATTGCAACACTATCAACCACAAAATACCTTCCGAATGTGAAGGCATGTTGGCCGAAGCTGTGACAGTTGGTAAGTCCTGGATTCGTGGCAACAAAGAGGGCGAGATCTAACTAATGGCGCTTATAGACACTGCACCATTCAACGCCTCTGACCACGTCCGCATACGGGAGTGGGCTAAGTATGACAACGAAACCTACACTGAGAATTTCACCGTACCTACCTGCGACGACCGCAATCTGAGCAGCGGTTGGGGTAACAGGTTCCCTATTCACACCGACTACGACGTGGCACTGAACTTTCCCATTGTGGACATCCTACACTTCTATCCCACCACTCCCGTCACCAACCGTATTACCGGTCGCAGCGTTCATGCAAAAGTCGTATGTTTGAAACCTGGGAAGGTGCAGGACGGAAGTCGGGCTCCGATAAGTGCGAAAGCGGTGCTTGACGAGAAATTCGGTCCACGGGATGGAGAAGACTCTCAGGATGGGGATGATGCTCAGGATGACGAGTCTAGTGCCGAGAGAGCCATTGGATGGAGTGGCAGGGTTGTATTCGCATCGATGGTTGGCACGATTGTTGGAGTCTGGCTCGGTCTGTAGAATACCCAAACGCTTTAGTCGATGCAGCGTACGTTCGAGAATCAAGCATGTTCAGATTTCGACCGTCATCGATCGGTGTGCAACAACACCGGAAGGATCGGGAGTGATGATCATATAGAACTGTAGCCCACTGCGCAAACAAAACTCCACTCTTGGACTAAACCCCTCACTGCTTCTCCACAGACACCGGACGAAGCAGCCACACCACAGCTGGAGAGTAGCGCTAAAGCATAGCCAAGCGGTGAGCTTACTCTTTACGGATCTGAATCGGCATGTGATTGTGGCTTGACAGCCACATTACTGCCGAATGCCCTTGTTTATAGTGAAAGAAGAAACCGTGAGGATAGAGAGCATGGCTTGCCAGTTGCGTGACGAGACTTCATCAATGCGGTGGCACTGTAGTCTAGTGTGCTAGCGCTCTCTATGTGCGTCACTGGAGATACGTCACACTGGAGGCGGCTAGGAAGTGTGAGTAGGTTCTCAGTGTGAAAGGGTTCGCGAGACTTGCCAAAGCGAAAGTACCCTGTACTCACAGTTGATGGTTTTTTCAGGACACAGGGTTCAGTAAGGCGAGCAGAGCACGCAGGAGGGGTGTGCCTAGCATTAGTGGATCTGCCGCATTTTGTGGGTATGGGGAATATTCAGTCATTGAGCTTGTCATTGACCACTTCAATTAGTTGTAAACACATGCGGAAATCGACTTGAATCTCATGGTGTTCTTTCTGTTACCTACAATGATTGCTAACCTGACACGCTTCCGGATCGCTCCGTAGAGCGGGTCAGAACGAGGAGGGAACGAACAATGCCGGTCTTAGTCATGCTTAAGGTGCATGGGACGTTGTCAAACCTAGAAACCGTCATTCAAAGTCAAACTGGCACTGCGACAGCGCCGAGCAGAGGTGCATCGGACTCCATCACGATCAGACTCAAGCCATACTATCTGTGTCGCGTGGCTTGTGTATCTGTGCTGGCACCAGTGCCATGCGCTGGAACCGCCAACAGGATCGCCGGCACCATGGAGTCGTGCTGAAAGCTTGGAAAGGTGTCATAACCACGGGGTTGGAACCATTGTTGTCTTGCTGGGCCTGTGAGAGTTACACGATAGCCTGGGCAGACGCTTGTCAAGCATTTGCGATAGGTCAAGAAATGCCTCGCAGTTGCGGAAGCACTATTTGGCTAAGCAGAACGTGTGGCGCAATTTTGGTAGCTTGTATATGGGCCTGCGATAATATCAGACCGCGTGATACTAGGCGGATGTTGGAGTTGGTCATGAAGCGGGGTCGTGTGTGGACGAAGATCGAACCTGAGCCAAGCCGGGGCCAAGAGGACTAGTTGGTGCCAAGGGGCGTGGGAGACGCGTGAGAGGAGCGGAGCGAATCGCGAGGCGAGCTGATGCATAAAGGCGTTGAGGCTGTGCTGGTGGGCCGATTCGATTAGGGCGCTCCTGTCATGGGTTCTGACACACTGACAATTTAGCTCTGATCTGGCGTTCCTGTGAATTCCCACCCCCTTGGGCGGCATGTAATATGAGTGCCTGAATTGATTCGGGTAGCAGAAGTTTTCGCAGGCCCGTGGGCGGGAGGATAGATGAAGGGGTGAAGATCAACCGACAGGGCTGATGTGCTAGCGCGCTGCGCTGCGTAACGGGTATCCTGCTGCATACGGGACTTGTCTGATTGATGGCACTATCGGAGGCTTGCTACTATGCACCCACGGCCAGGGTACTGCTGTGCAGCCTGTGATAGAGCATGTCTTACCGGAGAGGTGCATGTGTAGCCGCCTTTCTAGTCAATCACGATGCACGCGAGCGGCATCCCAGCATGGGGCCACTGTTGACGTCTGTGTTACACACCGTGGTAAGAGTCCGAGATAAGTGCCGTGTACTTTTTGGTTGCTTCTTCGCATAAACAGCTGATTTCGGGCTGCAGGGCGGGAGAAAGCGGCATCTGCTCAAGCGAAGCGAGGGGACTTTTGCTTCGCAAAGCACAGTGTCGACTTGACGATTTTGATTGCGATCTGGTGATGACGGGTGAAAAATCGCAGCGGAAAGTGGAGTACATGAGAGACCACGAGGCATGACTTCATCTGAAGCGCATTCCGGCCATGCCTGTACGGGCGATGCGCATGCTCACCCGCCAGCGCTGACCTGGGATTCAATATGTTCCGCTCGCTACCGGTCCGATAGCCTTGGAAGTCTCCATAGTGTAGCACAGTGCAGCGAAACTTTGGGCATGGAGGGCAGGAGATGGCTTTTGGCAAAATAGCAAACCCCTTGTCGCGGCGCTGATTAGCAGAGCGTCTGAGCGCAGTCGTGTCAGGGCAGAGTTCTATGATTGTCATTGTCGCACAGGGTGGCACAGGGGTCCAGCGCCAATGGATTCCGACACGCTGCGAGGTGAAGGCTTTGGAAGGGCTCTCATGGCGGACGGCGCACCTCGTTATCTGAGAGCGGTGAGAGTCGATAGCACACGGATCCAGCAGCCTGGCACGGATCTGCTTGCAAACTCTCTTGGTCCGCCGTTAGTGCCAGAGCCCGCGTTTGTGTCCCGGTGCCGCGACGGACATGAAGGAGTCGCCTTGTTTGGCATCACGGGCGTTGCTAGGCTTGGGCACACCTGGTCAATCCTCTGCACGCTAGAAGCTGGAACCCTCGACCCCTGCCGCCTCCGCTGCCCAGCAGAGTGGTCCGTTGTGTTAAATACTATGGCGTCTCCCTAGCAGTCCACGTCGTCGTACCATTCCAAGGTTTACTCAGAAACACCAGCTGCCAGCTACCAGCTAGATCAGCCTGACCTGATCACCACCCTGCCGCAGCTGTCCTGACTCATCGCCCGGCTGCCTTGCTCGTCCGTCCCCTCGCTGCAGTAAGCAACCTTACCAAGCCGCCGGCACCGACCCCATCGTCATTCCACCAAGTTCCGGCCTGGGCTGAGTCTACATAACACCGTTGCTTTTCGCCGCACCTGTCGTCCCCCATCGCGCTTGCCCGCTCTAAACTCCGCCGCACTTGTCGTTCCCCGCCCGCCATTCCCTAAACAAGTAGGTAAGGGGTGATCGACCACGCGCGTCCCAATCAGCCATCAAACCTTGGCGCACGGCATCCTACACTGTCAATCTCCACTCCACGGCCCTCCTGCCCTTATAATCGGACCCGCCGCTTTTCTGGACATCACCGCAGACTCCATCTACGCCAGCACTCTACCACTACCGCTTCACTACCACCTATTCACTAGTGGCCACTAGCGTCTACCCCAGATTGCCACCCGTTTTGACCTCGTGACTGCATCCCGCCCGTCACCTCCAAGACCGACACCACGTCTCCCACCACGACGTCGCCATCACCCGCAACGTTTCCCGGAACCACACCCCGAAAACGAATCTACCTCGACATCACTTGAAAACACCACAATGTGCGTCGCCGAACTCTGTGTCACGGTCCTCCCGTGCCAGCACCGCTGGTACCACCTGGTTCGCCCATGCAGCCCCTCCAGCAACCTCTCCACATGCGGCAAGAAGTTGGGAATCTCCGGCTGGGAAGTCAAGTGCGACCACTGCCCCTACTGCCACGGCCACGTCTCCGAGTTTGAGTACAAGCTCATCGGCGACGGTCCAGCACCACCTGTCGGATCCCTCTCAGGCCTCGCACGCGCACACTCGACGTCTCTGAACGCAGCACGCCGGGACATCCGCCTCGACAACATCACCCGAACCGACAGTGCGACCAGCGTAGGCAGCAAGAGCAGCTTGGTCACAGCTGCCTCTGAGAAGAACCGCGCAATGAACTCCCGACTCGACGCCTACTTCTTCCCCTCGGCTGATCAGCCCTACCCCGCTGTACGAGAAGACGACGCCGAGAGCAGCAGCGCGACCAGCCCAAGCGACACATCAAGCAACGACCGCGCAAGCATGCGACACTCGTCCATCTCCATGTCGGCTGAGCCCTACAAAGCCAACATGCTTTCGCGTGTCCGGCAGCGCACCAAGCGCATCTCCACCATCTTCAGATGAACGGACCGTCGATATTGCGCTTTCCTTAGCCACGTCAGTACCTATACAACCCACCTCAGCTCTTGGTAGTCCGCATCGCGTCCGAGTCTAGGCTGTGGCTGAAGTGAGGAGTCGCTTCCCCATTGATCCACTTAGCCACGTTTTCCTCGGCCCGAACGGCAATCACATGCCGTGATCATGCACTCCGCGGACCGTGCAGGCCATCAGCCACACTTGTCTGGTCTCTTGAGCCGAACCTCCCAGCTCCTCACGACGACTGCCGAAACTCCACTCTTCACTTCATGTATCTGTTTTCTTCAACCTCGCCTAGCGCGTTTTGGCCTGTTTCTCTCATCTCTCTCTTACTTCGGATACCCACTCTGCTCTTGCATTCTGCGCACGCGAACGTGCCCCGGCGACGGGTACTCTTGCGCACTCATTTCGGCCGCGGCGTTCTCACGTAAAAACGACAGGGAGTACTTCAGGCGAACACGAAGAGGGCAAGGGCAACCTGCGTTTGCTTCCATTTTGGTTTGGAATTACCAGGGTTGTTTGGCGTTGGGCAGCAAAACGTTTGTGCGTCATAAGCGGCAGGCGCTTCGTCGCTTTCTTTCTCGCTTGCTGTTGCTATGACTTACGAATGACTCAAGAGTGTTCTAGAAGCTAGTTTGTTACAGAATTCACATTTGTTTGCAAACAATTACGTGCATCGCGCATTTACCCATCTCTCGAGTGTTGCAAGTGTTCCAAGCACCCTTACTCACGGATGTTACCAGATTGCCTGCCACACCCATGCATGGTTACGAATCTGTGCCACACCTGCGTGCCACACTTCCGCTCCCATGCAGGTGCTTCGCAAAGCAATCTAGACCTTGCGCTCTGGCACGTACAGACGCGTCACCGCTGCTTGGAGCTACGCGATATCGATACCCACCAGCGCATGCAGGCATGTACACTAAGTGCACCATGACACCCTTTCCACCCCGCCAAGCCATGCAGGCATATACTATTACACCGTATATTCCGCTCTGTCCGCCAAGCTAACCATATTCTCCCCACCAAGATGGAGAAAAAGCGAGCTTTTCGTTGTCGTGGCCAAAATTTCAGTTGCCCGTCGGTGAAGGATCCCTTTCTCGCCGAATGTCGTGTCCAAGCTCTAGTGACAAGTGCATGGACAATGTCACAAAGTTTGTTGCTTGCTCGAAATCTGGTTTGCGCCATGAGTAACGTCTGCAGATCGTCAGCTGCCGGAGAAGTCCATGAACTCTAGAGTGTGAAAGGGAAATAAACCTGCCCCAAGAGGAACAAGCACACCAAGCCTGAGATCAGCGTGCTTGATCTTCTCGTGCTGCAGGGCATCGATGGTTTGCGTGATAAATATCATCATCGCGCTTTGAAGATCTAAGTTTGTACCTTACTTCACAGACCAAGTCACATGTCCCTTCCTGAGGGGTTGCGACTCGACATTGTGGTACACTTGCGATCCTATGACTACAATTCTGATTAAGGACTATAGTGAGCGGAGAGTAACAGGCGTGGAGATCAATAGAGCCACAACGACAAAGCCAAAGAAATGTCGCATCACACCTGATCAATTTCGACAGCTTCGCCTCACGCGCAAGAAGAGATAGCAGGACATATATTCGACGCACGACACGCAGGGACGACGTGCACAGCCTCTACGCCAACGTCACACATTGACAAGCCTTCAATATCACCACATAAGCTTCGCACCAGTGTCGCGAAACAAGCAATTTGGCAGATCAAGCAATTGAAGCCCAGAGATCAACCTGCCAGCTGGAAGGTTCCATCACTGCACATCACTCTCGCCGAGTGAGGGGTTCGCATCAAGGGATTTTGTTGGTTGGGTTCTGATCGGCAGAGAAATAAAGTTCGGCATCGACGGGGGCGACGATCATGACGCTCGGTGCAACGCAAAAGCATAGTAAACCAAAGACAGCGGTTTTAATGTGCGACCGGCAAGATGATGGCTAGTGTACGATGTTACTGTAGCCGCTCTGGGTAGGCAGGCTTTGTGGTAGCAACGGGTCATTGTATGCGCTTTTTAGTTTACATAAAGACTACTCAATGTAGTAACCGAAGTACCTTGACCAGGTCCGCTGTTACACCCATCGCAGTGACATCGCCGCCAGCACCAGCACCTTGGATGATGAGCGGGTTGTCGCCATATCGCTTTGTGTAGAATGCGATGATGTTGTCGCTTCCCTTGAGTGCCGCAATAGGGTGGCTTGTGTCGAACTTCTCCAATCCGACCTTGACCTTGTTGTTTGGTACATCCACGCTTCCTACAAATCGGATGACCTTGCCTTCCTTCTCTGCCTCTGCTTTAAGCTTCTCCATTTGGTCGTCGTATTGTGGGAGTTTCTCGAGGAACTCGTCGCCGGATGAGCAGGACTCGAGCTCCTTAGGGATAAGTGACTGAACCGGGAATGATGTTGGCGATTCGACCTTTAGGCCAGCGAGACGGGCGAGGATGGTAAGCTTTCGGGCGACGTCTAGTCCGTTCAAATCGTCGCGAGCGTCGGGCTCAGTGTAACCCTTCTCTTTGGCTGAAGTGACCTCAGCTGAGAACTTCCCACCTCCACCGCCGAGAGGCTGGAAGGAGTTGAAAAGAAAACTCATGGTGCCGCTGAAAACGCCCTCAATCTTTGTGACTTCATCTCCAGTCTCAACCAGATCCTTCAGTGTGGAGATAACAGGCAGTCCCGCGCCGACGGACGACTCGTGGAAGACGTAGCCACCAGCACCATTTCCGTTGCTCGCAGCGTCAAAGATCTGTGTCCAGAGGCCATAACTTCCCGAGAAAGCTTTCTTGTTTGGTGTCACAATGCTGATTCCCTTCTTCAAGAAAGCAGGGTAGCTATCCGCAACGTCCTGGTTGCTGGTGTTGTCGACAAGAACTACCTTGCCAGGCGCTTTCTGTAGGTATTCGCAGAGTTGTGGGAGAGGCAATGTGGGATTGGAAGTGTTCTGGAGCTCGGATTCCCAGTTGGAGAGGGATTTGTAGTCGGCGTGGTAGACAGCTTTCTTCGAGGTGCTGAGCCAGATGAGGGAGAGGTAATACGGCGACGAGGGCGATTGGGAGAGACGTTTGGAGAGGGCAGATAGTTGGGAGAGGAAGGCTTTGCCTACGCCGCCAGCACCTGTGGTTGTCAGTATAAAGCATTTATGTGGGAAGATTGTTGCGCGTACCGATAACGGCGATGAATACTTGACGAGGTAGAGGCATGTTTGTTTGTTGTAGTCAATTGATTGTGCGAATCTTGATGCTGAGGACGTGAAGTTTGTATCAGCTCTCAGAAGACAATGGGAGACTATCCAGACTTGAACAGAGAAAGACTGCGGCTCGCGGAAAGCGCGGTGCGGCTCTCAGAGGTACTGCGATGTGGGGTTGGTGAATCAAATGTTACCCAGGTGGGGTAGCTCCTGAGGTTAGTGACGCAACAAGCCCAGAGCTCCGAACATCGCCGCCGCGCCTACGCGCTCAGCACGCGACTGCCACCACCCAAATTGACTTTCATCACCAACCCCACCATGTCCTCCAAAGACGCCCATCTCTATGGCGTGCGGCCCAAGGGACGCGCAAAGGCGAAAGAAATCTCCAGCTCGAGCAGTCTCGCCTTCTCCTCGACTCTCTCCAACCTCATCAAGAACTCTTCCACGGAACCGCACAAGCCCACCGCGGGTCGCGCACGACCACAGAAGGAAGACATCTTCAAGACACACAACAAGAACGTCAAGAAGCGTGCACTGAAGGACCTGGAAGACACAGACTTCACTCAGAAGCACCGCGGGCGCACAACCGAGGAGAAGGGCGAAGATGAAGTCGCATGGAAGCGCACAAAGCGGCGCATGGAAGAAAAGGCACGCCTATACGATGCCCTGAAGCGCGGCGATGTAGAAGATCTCGACGACAAGTACGGTGTAGACTTTGATCGCAAATGGGCTGAGCAACAGGAAAAGGGCGAGGCGGAACACGCCAGCTCATCCGAGTCGGAAGAGGATGAAGAGGAAGAACTTGTAGAATATACGGATGAGTTTGGGCGGACACGAAAGGGCACACGCGCAGAAGCTGCGCGGGAAGAGCGTCGAAAGCGCACCCTTGCTGCCGACGAACCCGACCGCTTCACCGCGCGACCCAGCATGCCCACCAATATAATCTTCGGCGACACCGTACAAACACACGCTTTCAACCCCGATGAGACCATCGCGCAGCAGATGGCTGATCTAGCCGCCAAGCGCGACAAGGAACTCACGCCACCACCCGAGGTACACTTTGACGGCAGAGCCGAGGTCAGGCAGCGCGGCATGGGCTTCTTCAACTTCTCCAAGGACGAAGAGGAACGACAAGAACAGATGAGGCGGATTGAGAAGGACAGGGAAGATACCGAGCGCGTGAGACAGGAGCGCAAAGAGGCTGTGGAGAAGAGAAAGGCCATGGTCAGAGAAAAGAAGAGGGCCATACAGGAGAAGAGAAGTAAAGGGCAGGCAGAAAAGTTTCTGGAAGAGCTGGGCCAGGAGCTGTTCAAAGATGGAGAGACTGAAGCGGAGGAGAAGTCAGCCGTCGCAGATGAGACCAAGGAAGCTGCGTGAGCCGCAGTCTTGCCATTTCACATTCTACTATGATACCCCAATACGAAGCACACCTTCTCGTTCGAATTGGTGCTTGCGGTCCTGTACATCCCCGTGTCTTGGTCTTTCTGTTTCCCCCAAAAATGTTACTAATTCTAGAACTTCTGAGTATATAGTCGTCGCCGTTGGTCTTGCTCGAAAACGCTCTGGTGCCGCTTAGCTGGGGGTCCAAATTCGTCGTCCAAAGCCTTTCTTAGACTCTTACGCTGATCTTCACTCTTGTGCCTGCCTTCGACTTTCTCTACCTGCTTCAGACCCCGCCTTACTCTCATATCCTCTGTCTGTATTACAGACGCCTTGTAGGTTGCGACGTAGGGCCCATAGATGGCTTGGAGTTCTGGGCGGTCGAGCCAATCGAGTGCCTTATCGGCATCCATGGCGAGCACACTTATCCTCGCAATGGCGTCTTTGGACAATGGCATCTTAATCGTCTTCATGGCGGTACGGAATGTGTCCAGCGGATCCTTAAGCGTTAGAGGTAGCTTGAGATATGAGGACAGAGCGCTCCCTCCTTTGGCGATGATGTCCTTCCGTACGAGCGCTCCTGAACGGAGGTTGAAGTGGTATGCGCATGTGGAGAGGAAGCCCTGGACGTTGGGCTGCCCGTATAGAATGATTAGGGCATAATCAATTAGGCGTTCGCGGATCGCGATGTCGTCGTCTCGGCTTGACTTTGTATTACTCTTTTCTCTTGCGAAGCGCTCGGGGTGGAACGTGATGATGGCGATACGACGAACTGTAGTTGGGCTGTTGTCGTAGTACTCTAGCATTGCTGCCGGGATTTCTGCTTTGTAGCGTTGGGTGCCGGACAAATATAGGACCTTTGCTGTCCTGCCTCGCTCTTTTAGATACTGGCAATAGTCCCGGAACGCTGTCCCTCCTGCTAACAAGAGAACTGGAGCGGTGGACTTGTCGAGACAGATAAACGCGAAAGTCTGCCAATAAAGGCGAAGCTGGCTGGGTACGCTGTCGAGGACCTTTTCAGAGAGACCAATCATCCGCTTTCTGTCGAGGCGTCGGGAGAAGACGTCCACCATGAACACGCCGGTTGTGCGAACATTGGCGACGTTGTATCCGAGTTTGATCAATAGCACAGCGATGGACTTGTTGGACATGTCGTTCAGTGTCCCATACGACATGTGAAGTGAACTTGTCGGGTCGCTTGTCGGGTCGCTTGTCGGGTAAGAGCTCATGACCATCAGCGGGTCTTCCGGCGACCCGAACGGCTTCACCAGGTAATCCGGGCGCATATCTAGTCCTACTGTAGGGGTCGACGGTAAGGTGATTCTGCATTCATCATGTGACGCCTCTGCCCAGAGGGCGTCGACGATGGCATTTGTAGCGGGCCATGTGGACGGCGACTCCAGGATCTCAGGGATGTGCAGAGGTGGCACAGTCTGCATGTGCGTTTTGATAGATCTCAACAGCTCTGCAATGTCCGGCGATGCTGGGGAGAGACCAGGGAATGAGGCGGATATTAATGCGATCACTTCGTCTGGCGAGAGCTCTTGGTGTAGTGGATCTATACGAGGCGGTTCCTGGTCAGAGTGAGACGTCCCTTCGTGCTGGTCGGTTGGGTCCTCATCCGAGTCAGACATGTCCTCATCCGAGTCAGGCGGCCCTTGGTGCTGGTCGATTGGGTCCTCACCCGACAGCTGCTGGTACAGCGTCAGCAAGTGCAGCAGCTTGGAGGCACGCCGTGTGATCGATATATGGGCTGCCCCTGTGTTTGTTCAAGAGACCAAACAAACATAGCAATCCTGATGTTTCAATCGGTGAAAAAGCCAAGTGCTTCCAGTAGTTCTCTTAGCTGAAGATCGTTTGAAAAGAGGGAGGGCGGGCCATGGAGATTGTCACTGCACAAGGCCATCATCCATCAAGCCCATTGTTGGTATAGCCCAATTTTGCACCCAGTGAGACTCAAGAACCTGTTGTGCTGAAGGTCGTTCGTCTGGTCGAAATGCCAACATCAATCTCATGAGCTTGACAAAGGACTGCTTCTCCTCCTCGTCCATCACGTCCACCTTTTTCTTGTTTCTTGGTTCTTGTATTGAATTCTCCAGGAGATCTTCCAACGACTGATAATCCAATCCTCTAAGGCTTCGCAGTTGATCGTCAAAATACTGGCTGCGATTCGCCCATCTCAGCCACAAATCTTGAGGTAACTGCCCCAAAGCAGCGACTTGATACTCTAAGACTTGGTCGTTACTCGGAAACCATTCATAGAACGGGGCACGTTGACCCATAATGCTGAACACTGCACATGCGAGACTCCATATCTCTGTAGGGAATGAAAATTGTGACACTGAGTCCAACAGTATCTCTGGAGGCCTTAGCATCAAGGGCGTGTGGGTCGATTTTCGCACGTGAGATCCTGGCTGGAAGGATTCGCCAAAGTCGCTTAGGAAGATCTGGGAGTCGGTGATTGAGAGCTTGTCACCGCGGCCCCCAAGCCAGATTGGTACGACACCATTGTCGGGCACCCAATGATCCAGAGGTCGTCCATCTACCCTTTCTACATCTTCGAGCGTGGGTTGTCCATACCTTTCGTAAAGTTGGTCTGGTGTAAGGTCATCGATGGTGATGGGAAGGCGCAGAAGAATATTTGCTTCATGTAGATCTAGATTCACCGTCAGCAAATTGATAAGCTACCGATATTATCTATTCTATCACATACCTCCATGAACTATCCCACGAGAGTGCATGAATGCTACTGCCTGAATAATCTGAGCAGCTATCGCTCGAGCTACTGGTAGCTGGAAATAACGGTAAGGAGACGCTTCTCGCGCTTCGGCAACGCTCATCATTGCAGGTGTCGTGACGAGACAGCGGTGCTTTCTCTTCGTACCACGTATCTCTGGACCTTCCACTTCAAATTCACCCAAAAGTTTTGGAAACAGCGTAGCTCCGATGTGCTCTTCGTCAGCGCATCTTCCCTCATCCCACAAAGCCTTCAAGACGGTACCTTCGGACGGACGGTCTAGCCCTGATACACAGAACTTGATAGCAACATACTTTGCCAGAATCTCGTCACGCGCTAGCCATATAGTTGAATAGGAACCATGGCCCAGTTTATGTACAATGTGATAGCGAGCCGAGCAGAAGCGCTCGCCAATTCGTACCGGATAGTAGTCTCCAACAGTGCAACGCTCGAAGGGTTCGATATCTTCCATTGGCTTATACATCGGGAAGGAAGCCTCTGGGTTCTCAGGCTTGTGATCTGACATCGGTTTTGTATAACTGCCAGATGATGTGTACTCTCTTACTGGGATGCGAGACGTCCTGTGTGAATTAGCAGACATGTTGCAGGCGAAGCGATGAGCCGAGCGGAACCGTCGATGAAAAGCTGGTCGAGACAACAAATCCATCCGCATTGCGAAGTCTTTCATCACTAACCGCAACTGCAGAGTAAGTCATAAGAGTAGGCGCTTTCATAGGTGTAATGTTCTCGCAAACGCGATTGTCAGGAGCTAATGACCGGGTCTGCTGGGGCCTGCCTGCTGGGGGTGGCGGGGGAATCAACTAGCGTCAGGACCCACCGCCACCCGCAGACCCGCCGACAGCATTCGTATATTACCTCAAGTCAGTGCAAATTCAGTATGCTAGGTACTGATCGCATCGGGCATGAACAAGCAGGTGTCGTCGTAGAACGATGTGGTCCGTTATTGGCGGGAGAACTAAATGCATCTGTGGTATCTTTCAAGCACGCGCCTGGTCTCATCACGTTCTTTACATTACGTCTCTACCGATAAGAAAATAAATACCAGCCTCCAACATTACTATCACACCGCACCGCGCCTCGATGCATCATCCTGCTTCTATCATCGGGCACGTAGGCATCAGTGGACCCTTCCTGGCAGCTCGACAGGCTCCATGTTTACATGATGACCTCCAGACATCTCAACCGGTCCACGGCTGCTATCCCATTGATATGCCTTCCGCGTGTGTCGCGTGTTTCCCATGCTCAATTCAGATTCCTGTGCGAATTCATCCCGGGGACCGTAGGTGTATCCAGATGGCTGTACTTTCTCTTTTGAAGCGCCACGCTTTCGTCGAATGAAAAAGACGCCAAGAATGGTCAAGCAGATCACTGTAAGCCCTCCTAAAACTCCTCCCACGATAGGCCCAATGTTATTTGGTTTGTGTTCGGAAGATTCGGGCGTCGGATTTGACGTTGACGGCGGCAAAGAAGCCCCGGACAGGACATTGGCGCTTGAAGGTGCAGTAGTAGTAGAAGATGGAGGTATCGAAGTTTGTGTAGCTGGGGTCGAACTGTCCAAAGGTTCGCTGCGTTCAGTGGATGTCGTTGTTGCGACCGCGTCGTTCGGTGTCACGAAGATGCTTTCGGTTTTCGGCTCCCTTCCGCAGGCAATGTATGACAACGACTGATCCGACTCAATCAAGAGCGCAGTGGAACAGAACTGGTCGGATGCGCTGGACACTTTAATTAGAAGAGCCCCTCAGTATTTCTGAAGCTATAGAGAGACCGACCATGAAATACGGCGAACCGTTTGATCAGACAGTTTGCCGCATCCAGACGCACAAGAGCCTTGATCAGCGCATATACCGACTAAAAGACAAAGTTCGGCTGAATCGCCAGGGTGACAAAAGCCCCATAAGCCGTTGGCGGAATCCGCCAGGCAGAGGAAACCAGGGCCAGCCCCTCGAGGTTTACTGGGATCGCCATCGGTGTATCCACAGATAGAAGCAGATGCATCGTCTTGTCGTCTGAAAATCTGTTCCTGGGCGTGAGATGCTTGCTGTGTTGCACGTGGTCCTAGGGGTGCAAAACGGCCACGAACAGGTTCCACGGAGCTGAAGGCGACAAGATACACGAGGAACCTCAACATTTCCCAAAGGCAGTGTTGATGGTGACGACGGCGCGTTGATTGGTACAGTACCAGAAGCGAAAGAACAGATGCGACGATGGGTGCGACACGTAGGGGGCATAGATGCGACTTAAAGGCTACTGCTGACCCTACCGCAGGTCTGCGGTCAGCAGGGGCGATAATACAGCCATTTCTTAGATTGGGCTTATGCAGTCAATGGGGCGAAGATGTCGTGTTAGCCTTGAGGGAAACGGCCCCCATCTGCCACAATGTCAGCACGTAGCGTCCATGTTGAGTTGTCTTGAGTAGGCCTGATTATTGCCATCGAGCCACAATGCCCATTCGCCTTTAATCTCCTAGGTCGATACACTCGCACCTCTAGTATCGTCGCGGATTCAGTATCGCCATAGACCTTATCGTTTGACACCAACGACATGCTCTCGGCGACCAGGGCAAAACCGGCAAGGATGGCAACGAGCGACGCATCCCGAGCACAACAAGCATTTAGATGCACTGGAATATGCATTTCTCTCTTCGCGCGTGGATCTGTCCTGGAATCCCGAGGTCCTGGCAACGCCTGGGCAGAGATAGCAACAACCGCGCGCGCCACCAACACCTAACTTTCGCTGCTAGAATCCATATCCCGGAGCTCACTAAGTTAGCGAAAGCGCGCATAAGTGAGCGATTCTCTCGGTACTGGTAGACGCTGCGTGACGCTGTTGAAATTTTTCTTGTTGTGGGAGAAAGGCAGAAGGGATATGTTGACTGGTTTCACTGGTAACAGACGCTCCGGAGGCATGCACGGGCCACATGTTCACCCAAACAGTGTTGCTAGTGGGATAACTGTCTGCGTCATTTGCCGCCGTGCCGCAACCCGTGGGCCTATTCTGAGCGCTTACCTCCACGCGAAACGGCGCGAATCCGACTTGCCACTCTCAGTCACGCAGCTACATTCTTTGAAAGAGACTTCATCGGCTTTATTGCTTCTCAGTTGCACCCTGTTCTTTCTTCTTCGTCGCTCCTTTCTAATGACAACGAGGGGCTTGCGATCGGTCTTCAAGGCGACCGCGTTGCTTGCTGTTGTCTTCCTCCTGATAGCCGGCTTTGGGTTTTTCGACTATGGCGATTCCCTTTCGCGAATAAAACCTATCGTCACTGGTATTGTCAAACCAACCCCGGCAGGTGTGTAGCCTCTGCTTCCCGATAATGTGAGTCGAATCTAACATTTGGGACTAGAAACGAAGCCGAGCAATCTAGATGACTCGCCAACAACATCACAAACCCCCGAGCCTCCCAATGCCAGCGGCGGTTCTGAACTTTCGGAAAATAACAATGCCACCGTCATTGATATACCAGCATATCTGCACGCCATCATGAATCCTGCGTCTACGACTTTCCCACGACTTGAGTGCCCGCAGCCAAACCTTGAAAGGTATGCGTATCTCGGTGGATCATCTGGATCACTCCAACATGGGCAACTTCCTCGATACTTCTTTGCCCTCAATCTACATCAATGTGTTGACCTTCTTCCGCGATTGATTGGTTCCATAGTAGAAACTATGTACTTCCTTGGGCCACAAAACTGCGTGCTATCTATAGTCGAAGGAAGATCCGACGATGGCACCTTTGATATACTCAATCAACTTCACTCTAGCATGCAACTTTTAGGTACCCAAGGCAGCTTACATTCAGAGATAAAAAAGCTAAGCAACTCCTAGGTATTCGATACTACTTCAAATCGAGCGATATCAACCCTCTAGCCAAAGGAGAAAATCGCATCGAGAACCTTGCAAAGCTCCGCAATCTAGCTCTGAGAGACCTTATCGCACATCCGGAGCATTACGACGAGGATACTACGGTCATCTTCTCCAACGACGTGGCTTTGTGTATGGAAGATATTCTAGAAATAATCCATCAGCGGAAGTTCCAGGGAGCAGATCAAACGTGTGCCATGGATTGGACATACGTTGGGGACAACCCGACTTACTATGATGTTTGGATCGGTCGCGGTGAGTTTTGACTGTGCGAAGCGCATGTGAGACATATACTGACTGAGTATGCCCATTTCTTAGGAATGACTGGGGACCTATTCTTCAATATCCCGGAAGACGGATCATGGGATAACGCTTGGAATCTCTTCTACAATGACCCTAAAGCACACGCGCGCTGGTCGAGCTCGAAACCATTTCAGGTGTTTTCATGCTGGAACGGCATAACGGCCTTCACCGCGAAACCGCTCATGGAGAAAAAGATCAAGTTTCGGACACATAAGGAGGGCGAGTGTTTTCAAGGCGAGCCAAAGTTATTCGCCAAGGACATGTGGTTTAACGGTTATGGTAAAATAGCGGTAGTACCTAGCGTTAACGTGGAATACTCGGACGAAGGAACAAAGAAGCTCAGGGCTTTGAAAGGATCCACATCTAAGGTAAGTCCTGACAGTGCGAAGTGCATGTGATACATATACTGACTTGTCTGCAGCATGTTGCGGACGAAGGAGATGATATCAAAATCGAGTGGGAGGTTTCTCCGCCGGAGAAAGTGAAGTGTATGCCAGACTATCGACACCAAACGTTTGTTGCTTGGGACGAGGGACTGAGGCGTTAATGTAATCGGAAATAAAATTCGAATGTTTGCAACGATTGCGATACTTGGTGAGAGCTGTATGCTACATGCATACTACGCTAACTATGTCATATACTAATTCCGTCTTGTAATCACCACACGTATGTCGTTGGTCGGCTTTCTCACCCCGGTTCCCGGAACCTTGCCCGGAAGCTTCCATGACCCGTCCGCTGGGCCAACGTCCCACATTGTAATGATAGCAACAGCTAATGTCACAATTTCCTTCTCAGCAAATATTCTTCCTTTACACATTGCAGAGCCAGATCCCCATGGCTTCAGTCGTCCATATCGAGCAGTAAGCTTCCCAGATGACGGGTCCAGCTCCAGAAATCGTCCAGGGTCAAACTTATCGGGATCGCTGTAGATCGAAGCATCGCGGTTCACCAAAGAATAAGGTACTGACACGAATGTACCCGGCTTGAGTTCATGTCTCAAATCCCCGTCCGTAACGTGAACTGTGCTTGAACCAACAGATCTAATGGACCTAAGATGTGGGCGCACGAGGTCAGTAAATGTCCTACAAAAAGTTCGAACGGGGATACAAACGTTGGTTCGTTTACAAGGCGGTAGGTCTCGTAAATACACGCCTTCAGCAACGGACAATTCCTCGACAAGCCTTGCATATCCAGCGATGTCAATTCTCTGGGGATGGACGTAGACATCGTAACATACGGGGTCAGTTCCTCGCGGAGTTGCTCCAATATCTTGGGCGTGGAATATACGTAGGTTAGCAGCCAGAAGAGGAGTGGTTGCGTGTTCGCATTCTGGCCCCAAAGGAGTCCGAGGTCTCCAGCACCACGCTCAGGGAAGGACCAACCTTTCCTCCTGTAGACGTTGTTCCTTCCCAATGCTGTTTCACCGACGTCGCGCATATCAGCGTCGAAATCGACAGGATCTCCCTGCTGGTACTGATCGATTCGGCGATACAAAGCCTCGAGTTCAGTGATGAGACGGGTCCGCGCAGCGAGACCCTCTTTCATCACTTTCAAAGGAGCCCACAGTGGCAGGCCAATCATCAAAAGGGGGAAGAGATCGTTGTCAAACTTCCACAGATCCTCTAGTGCCTGTGGATATCGATCCAGGAAATCGCGACCGTATAGCTGTGGGATAGCGATGCAGGCACCAAAGTCTCGAACCAAGCTTTGGAAATTTGCCTCCACTTTCTCAACACCACCAGATTCAGGGTTGATCACCCGAATTTGTGCCGAATGCTCCCACAACTCCATGTCGCGAGGATTAGACTGGAAGCTCACGAAGGACTTCACTTTTTCGGGTATGCAGGCTCTCTCCAAAGCAGCAGTGGCAGCTATCTCGTTCATGAAGACTTTCTCGATGGGTGTTCGTAGATCCTTGTTTGAAGCGTCCAGCTTTTCTTTGAATTGCAGTGAGTCTACGCCGCCGAATACACGGACGAGAAGGGTGTACTGAGACGGCAAAGGATCTAAGATGGATTTTGCCATCAACCGTGTGATGTGCGGCGAATCGATGAGTATTTGGTGTTTTGATGAGAGCCCAACAAGAGATCCACTGTTTCGCCGCAGCAGCATCCTACAAACGCGGACATGAGTATTATTTCGGGATGAATAAAGCTTCATGGTACTCACAAAATACGGCGACCCAGTCCATTCTCGGAGAGAAGATGCGAAGTTAACCCAATCTCAAGTGTTGCCCAGACGGGAAACAGCTGGTACGGTTTCGGTTTCGACGCCACTCGAACGACAAAGATGATGAGGAGGACGATGATGGCCACAGCAATGACACCAGTGTTCGTTGCCGCTTTCCAGCTCGCTAGCTGGGAGGCATCGGCATGCGATGAGTGCATTGTGTTTCCCATAGCCGGACGACTGACGAGCGTTTCCTATATGGTCGCTTTTATAGCGTTGGATGTGCGTGGCCTGGTGTTGCGATCGTATGGCATTGAAGGAGAAGCTGTGACTAGATTTGGGGGCTGGGTGTGCAGGCTTGATGAAGCGGCGTCGGAAAAAGTGTCAGCCGTATCAGCCGTATTACCCCAGGGTTGTACCTATTGCTGATGGCCTTGGCGTCTCGTAAGGTTCAAATATTTACGGCGCGGCAACAGGAGGCTCCGAGTGCCGGCGGTTGTAGCGGCGCGTGGTGGTGCTGCTCTGCTCGACGTTGATGTTGTCTCCCGTTGGTTACGTCTCTGACTGTACAACTGATTCCTGCATACGTGGAAAGCTAGCTCTACGTGCCTCGCGCGCCTGAATACGCCCGAGACGGTATGATTTGATGAGACAAATGGCACGAGATCGAATAACCTGTCAGCAGCCACGGGGTCCGCGTCGCAAGCGGGCAACTTAGGGGAATTAGGCAATAACGGCAGAACGCGAAGATTCGCAGGGCGTAAGTATTCGCAACACGATGTGTGTGTTGGGTGAATGCGGTCTTTCGCCCAAAGAGGTTAGACCGTCTATGCGCGCGAAGAGTGGACCCGCGGCAACAACCCCATGGATAGTTGGAAGGAACAAACGACTGCCACGCCCTCGTAGAAGCCAGAATGAGTGTTCTGGGCATCTTATTATGTCCAACCTCGCCTGGGCGTACCTGCACTCACAACTACGCCGCGCCTGCCTGCGTTCATTGTGCATCGACACCGCCTGACGCCAAGGGTCTTTACCAACATCGTCGGAGCAGACCTGCGCTAGCGATTTAGAATCGTCCTTCGTTCCTTCCGCTACCATGACAGCACAGAGAGTACAATGTCCTATATGTCTTAAGGACTACAAGAATGAAATAAGCTTGAGGACACACATGGTTTTACACAACGATGAAGCGAAGAAAGCAAAAGTTGCATCAAGGACGCGATACCGTGAGGCAGAGATATTGGCAGAGACATGAAAGTGCGCAAAATGCAGCAAAATACATACCACTAAGAACAACTTGGATCAACATCTGCGCACACACCACCGAGAACTATCCAACTCTTCATTCGAGTGCTCTGTCTGCCCGGAGACCTTCAACAACAAAGTGACTCTGGAGGAACACCACCGAACCGTACACGCAATGGACACCGCCCGAAAGACCACCGTAGATGAGAGTCTTGGGTCTATACTCTCGGCCTCGAATGCATTTACTGCGGCAGGAAGTTTTGGACCCAGAAGAAGAAGAATACTCACATCGACTTCAGATGCCCCACAAGAGAACATGAACCCTACCCTGTGCGCAACGGTAACACTAAGATACTCCGAGATATTGAACAGATTGAAGAAGCTATGCCAACTATGGATCGTATTGACAAGCCCGTCTACCAGAACATGTTGACGACGCTGTACCAGCAGCTGTCGGGATGGCAGCGGCAGGATGACGATGGGAACCCGTGCCTCGTGTCTCTCCGCACAACAAGCCTTAGACTCCATCACCTCGGAAAAGGAAAGAAACTGAACAGTTCTGCAGACTACGCTATGACAAAACAAGCAAATCGGAAGATCTATCGTCAATGTAGGCTCCAGAGTGGTCTCTTGAAGGCCACCAAGGTACAGATAAGAGCATGAAAATAACACTCACAGTCAACTTCCTAGTCTGTGAACGGGTCTTCCTAGCGGCCGCAAGATGTTGCAGCATTGTCAGAACGCCGATGTGCCAAACCACGACCCAGCGGCCGAAACTGGATACAGAAGATCCAAGTAGAAGCATACCATCGCCTTCTCGAAACTCAATTCTGTTTATGCTGGTTGGCAAGTGCCTACTTGAACGGGGCATATCATCCTCCGATCTGCACTTCTGCAATCAGACATTTTGACTACGAGTAATTGTGAAGTCATCATCAGCGACCGTGTTATAGAGTACGGCAATGCACAGCACATAGATCGGAGATGCACATATCTCATTCGCAAATACTCTAGTATCTACAAAGCAATCTTCCCCTCATCTCTAGCAAAAGCAGCCCCGCTAAAATCGACACGATAGAAACAACGCCTGCCAAATGCAAAGTTTACTCCTCACCCTTCGTTACAGCATGCCTTTTTTTTCGAAAACCGTCCTGAAAAAAAGTTTTCCCACAAAGGCCAGGCTGGCACCTGGGTCTAAAAAAGCCATTTGAACATGGACCGCGGCAAGCTCCGGGTCCTTCCTGAAAGGGGGTAATCGTTGAAGAAGCGAAAGAACATATCATAGCAAACGAGATCTTCGTAACGTAAAATAGTGCAATACACATAAAGGAAATAGTGCCTCGTAATGCCGAAAGGCATGTAGACGTGGGGACTGGTGTCAAATTCTGGCCATGAGCAAAGGGTATCTGGTGATATTGGAAAGTCGTGAGCTTAATGTGATGCAAGTGTCTCGTCCTCCTAGTGGGAGTTGGTGGTAGGCTGAGGTGGAGGCGTAGACAGGATCGAGATGCCCATGGTAATTATAGCAATCAAGAGTCATAGGATACTGCATGCGCTGCCCGAAGACCTATCGATACGTTGTCAGCTACTGCGCCGGATATATCTTTGCGTCGAAAGTATCCAAAACCAATGGCATGGACGGAAATGTGTCACTGACACTCATGCGGTATCTCTATCGTCATAGTGATCAGCGCACAAGCAATGATCCACGTCTCTCCGCGGAAGCCATGCTGCATGACGGCGGGACGATCACCGTTTGTGCTTGTGTCACCCAAGACTTGATGCATGTGCCGGGTTCCTGGTGCCGAGAACCGAGAGATTGTGGAGATGAATAGATAGGAAAAGGTAGATGCTTACCATCTTTGCCCGCGGATCCTGCCAATCCACGAGTAAACAATCTTCAGACGCTCGCGAACCCTTTCTGTTTGTAATAAAACATATTTCTCTTCTTCCACGATTGGGACGACAGAGGCAAACCAGTATGGAAATATCGCGGGGTCCTCAGGTGGTTCGCCGTAGACTTGGATGATGCGCTCACGAAGCCAAGGCGCGCTAGCCTCTCTCATTTCCCGCACAAACGCTGTGCAACTGTCGAGTAGTTGTTGCGTAGAAAGGGTTTCGATCGCAACTTCCGCAGGAAGCTGATTTTGAGGGTGGTCGCGGAAAAATGCTTCTGCATAGTCCCGAGCCATGGTGGTTTCGCGCTGCTCTAGAATGGCTTCTTCGGCAAGAGAGACATCTTCAACGCGCTCGATGCGGCTGACGTTGTACCCATCAAGCAAGCCATGAGCCCTCACCTTGAAACGACCGATACCGCGTGTTTCGATAAAGCTACGCCCATCACGGAGTAACTCGTAGTTGACGATCTCGAGTAGCGTTCCGTATTCCAGAAACGGGGTGGGACCAAGATCGCCTTGTGGGGCGTGAGTGCGATTGTACATGACCATGCCGAATTGTCTGCTGCCTTCAATGACACGTCGCATCATGAGCCGATAGCGGGGCTCAAACACATGAAGGAAAGTCGGCATTGCAGGTAATGACAGTGTGCAGATGAAGAGCGGAACGTTCAAGACGTTGTCCCCGGCCTGTTCTTCCGCTTTGAGAGCATCCGCACGAGCACTGACCATATCTGGACAAAGCCCATTCAACAAGGAGTTGAGTATGACGTTGCTAGATTGATTCTGCAAGGACGCAGGCACATGCAGTCCTCTGCGACAGAAGGGGCAAATGCTACTGTGGTCCATGACACGACCGAGACAGCGGCGGCAGAATGTATGACCGCACGAAGTCGTAGTCGGGTCGAGCATCAAGTTGTAACAGACAAGGCAGTCTAACTCCTTGTGGGTTACGTCGCGCAAGCGTTCCAGCAGCGTGATGTCAAGATGGTCGTAGTTGTCCCCGCTTGCCGATAACGACTGGTAGTGGACTTCGGAAGTGTACCGAAGTTTGCCCATCTCAGCCATGGTGAACGTAGACACGACACGTCCGCCATGCAGTTCCTCCTGATGCCCATGGTGACTAGGCTTTTCCTTCTCTTTCTCGTCCATGGGTGAATCTTCATGCTGAGGTACCTCGATCAGAAGCATCGGAGTATTTTCCGCAGATGGTCTATGCGCGACTATCTCGGCTTTTATCAAGTCCATCAACTTGGTCAACGTCACGTCGACAGAGCACTCAGCGGAAGCATGTTCGGCCCCGCAGCCCATTAGCGGACACGCGATGCCCATGAGGCGATCCGGCGTGTTCGGGTAGGATATGTTGGTGCGAGGTTGCGGGGGAGGCAGGCAGCCGCGACAGACGGTGTGGCCGCAAGGCAGTGTGACGGGGACACTCAGAGGTTTCGAGCATCGCGGGCACTGGACCAGGCGGACCATCTGTCGGGCGTCGCGGTGGGCGTCGAGGGCGACCGCCTCCGAAGCCTCTGCCGAGCGCTCATTGTCGCACATGAAGGCCTGTGCAGATAATTGAGGCTCAAAGGAATGCTCAACGCTTTCGACGATAGAGCACCCTTTTGTCCGTTGGTGATTCATGTAGATTCGCTATGTTGTGCAATGACTGCGGCAGCCATGTACAGTCGCAGGCCCGTCGGTGGGTCAGGTTGCGGTTTTGGT